TCCAGTTTACTGTCCACGCTGTACAGAATGGCGACCGATATCCAAGTTGTTTTCATTTTCGAATTAAAGCAATTTCTAATTTGCGGGGCGGCAAACTCTATGACGTACATTCTGAATCTAGTCTGAAAATAGCTGATGGTGAAGAATATAGCTAGCGAATAGATAACGAATGAAAAAAATAGAAGACGTAAAACTGGTAAACAAACACATATACATAACCACAAATGCACTAGGAGCAAGATTGCATAAGTTAATTGGCTTCAATCTGACAGGTTATGGTTTTGTTATTTGTATTGAAATATCTCAAATACAGCTCGATATTATTGAATCAATGAATCACTATCGGCTACATTCAATGATACTATCCTTCGTAACTTCCTGCCATCGCTCAGAACAGAATGAAGCCGACACCCATTGTTCCTTCCTCTTGTTGTGCCTGTCAGTATTTTGAGTGGTATGGACGGACTCGAAGTATTAGGCGCTGTTGCAAGATATAATCTGCAACTTTCCTAGGAGATCAGCAAAAAATGACTAACAAGTTATGAATAACATATTGTATTATAACGATAGTGAATAATTATAGATACTATCGTGAAATATTATAATTTATTTTCATTAGTTTTAAACTTCATTCAGCAAATGAGAGATTTATGGGAATTATTCATAATACTTGACAAAGTAGGATCGAAGAACCTATTATATCCCATTGCTGTTATGATATAGTTATTATGTATTCAAAGAACAATTTCCGGAAATCTAGACATATCGATGATGTCGGCAACGTTGTTCTAGCACAGGGAATCGTATTTCAACTCTGTGTGAATGTGGATTTTCAGAAAGTACGTCAATGGAATGGTGGAGGAGCCATGTTTCTCTTTTATTTATTTTTTCTGAAGTGAAATTTGATCTCACAAAAAAAGGAAAAATACGTATATATTAATTCTTGACAAACTTCACGGTGAGATGAAAACCTCAATATAGAAAACTTCCCCATTACTCCGCCATAGGAAGACTTCACAAATGGTCTCTGGTCTAGATTCTTGGCCACTACGGTATAGAAGGAACTGAGATGTCTTGAACCTAATATACTGAACATCTACAATGCGAGAGGAGTTTCAGATGTCATCGAACAAATGTTGGACCTCGGTATAGGGATGACCAATGCTCTCTAACAGGTCTGCTTACAGGTCACTGTCGTCTGAATCCTCATATTATGTCCAGACTAAGACTGTATCGGTGTGCCATCAATGTCTTCACTTGAAACAAATACCATTTCAACTTCTATGGTTCACTGAATCATTGATCGGTCCATAAAGAGACGTTTGAGCCTAATGTTTGCTCTCAAAAGACCTCTATGGAGTATAATTATCAACTCAAGCACTGGCGTATTTCTATCTCTTTGTTATTCTTTCCATTTGAAATCGATGATGGTTGCATATTATGGTCATAGCCCAAAGCACTAGGACCAGTGAGAATATATCTGTTGAATAAATTCTTCTAGAACAGTAGAGCTCTTATGGAAGACCCTGTAAATGTATTTTGCTACTGCGTTCTGGATATTGTAGCAACAGCTTCTCAATTGAAGTAGTTAGTTTCTGAACCATGAAACGATTGCTCAAGCAGCTACTCTAGTTTATATTAAATGAAGAAGTTATTCCAGGGCTCCAGTTTTTTGGTGTGATATTCGTAGTGTGCAACCATTTGCTGAGGCAGCGACTCCTTTGCGTAAAGTGATCAGTCAGATTGCTGATGCAGTTCAGATTTTGTGGAAATTTGTTTGCTGGGAATTTCATGTGTATATTCTCTAATATGCCTCCCCAGCTATGTTCTCTGATAGCTAGTTCTCTCTCAAACAGGTCTCTTCATGTAGTGGTCGACGGAGTTTCATCTGACTCTCTTGTCATAAATGCTGGTGTTCTGCAAAGATCAATTCTAGCACCAACACTATTTCTACTCCATATCAACGATTTGTTGAAAGCAACTTCATGTCCAGTACACAGCTTCGCAGATGATAGTACCCTCCATACCGCCTTCTCTTCCAGGGCTCCAATACCAGCCAGGCAAATCAGAAACGAACGAGGGAGAATGTTGACAAGATAAATATGGACTTGGCAACAATTCTCGAATGGAGATCCAATAACTTGGTAGATTGCAATGCAAACAAAACACAAGCACGCCTTTTCTCTAGAAAAGCCCATCTCACTGTGCCCAACATAACCCTGTCAGGAGTAACCATACCTTTGAAGACATCCATTTCGATGCTTGGTATTACTATCAGCAATAACCTTTCTTGGGAAAATCATGTGAGATCAATTGCTAAAAGTGCATCCCCAAAAATGGTTTTTCCGTTTCGGGCCAGGAGCTATTTCACTTCCAGTCAGCTGCTTATGATCTATAAGGCACAGATCCGACCTGTCCTGGAATACTATTTCCATATTTGGAGTGCAGCACCCACACATACCCTGAAACTGTTGGATTCTGTCCAAAATGGGGCAATTCGTCTCGTGGGTGATGCCTCGCTCACAAACTCACTCACATCTCTGGAACACCGTAGAAAAGTTGTCGATCTGGCTCTATTTTATAGATATTCTCATGGACGATGCTCTTCTGAAATATCAACAAATGTTCCTTCCTTGGCAGTCCCCGCGAGATTAACTCGTCCAGTTAAGGCTTCGCACCCCTTCGTGGTCACTTTGGAGATCTGCAGAACATCTCTTTCCAAAGACTCGTTCATCCAACGAACAGCGAGGCTCTGGAAAACATTGCCAAGAGAGGTGTTCCCCGAGGCATATAACCTCCAGAAATTCAAGAAGAACACCAATTCCTACCTTATTTTCCTTGGTTTCCACGATGTTCTCTGAACTCTACAGGATTTCCTTTTTCGTGGGAATCAGGACATAAAAAAAATATGTCGACTCGTGTTTTGCTATTGCCTTGGCTGTTGCTTGGTCATCGCGACCCAATATGAAGCTATACCCTTCCTTTTGTGAGGAAGTTGTTGCAGGTGTACTGAGTACCATGTGGCGTCTCATTACCTGTTGCATGCAGCCACCTGTTGCGTCGACTCACCCTTGGTGGTGAGCACGTGGTGAGTAACCTGTTGCGTCGAGTTACCTGCTGCGGCAATTTGGCGCGCCACTGTCGCATGTTGCTTGCAACAGCAAAAAAACAACATTGACATTCACTGATCGCATGGAAGACACAAATCGAGTCGGCGGAGGCACATCTTAGCTAGCGAGTTATGTTCGCTTTCCCACGATCGGCGATTGTTTCGCCGCAGGCAAGCTGCGACTGGGACAGCACGAGCCCATTCAACGGCTGAAAAGTGCCGATGGCAACCGATGGTCACTTACAGGGTGGATATGTTGTGTTGATTTCTCGTCAGTCTGAATTCTACACGCCAACTTTAGACACATTTAATAGTATATTATGTAACAAGTGTTATAAAAGTCGTTTTAGTAACGAGTACTTTAATACACGAGTGTCTAGAAGAGTTTATAAACGCGTTATATACTACGCTTTTTCTACGAACTCCGAAAATTACATTAACATACCTGCTATTCCTGCTAACCTACAAAATAATACGAAAGGATTGGGGATTGAGAACATAATACATGCAACTTTATGCAACCAGCGAGACACGTATAGGTGATATTGGTTGTAGATGTGTCCAGTCCATTGCTTACTAACCTTCGTTTCATATTTATTGTCATGCTTAGCGCAGAATAAATGGATTGTCCTCAAAGATGGTTTACACTTCTTGGAGACATGCAAGTACCAAAACAGTCTCTTCGATTTCATTTTCGTCCACATTTCGCATATATTTTTAATGATGAATTCAGATACAAACGGAAATTGTTTGAATAATTATGATACAAAATTCGAAAATGACAGTTGACAGTTTCTACAATTGACAGGTCAGACATGTGATGTGTTTAAGAAATCGTGTTGCCCTGGTAACGTGTTTAATATTTTGAATAAATCACAGATCGTCAATCCGTGATTAATCGATCATTTAGCGTGGTACATATCCGTACGCTAAATGACATCTTAGTTATGTGAGTAGAAAAAATGATTTTACCACTTCACAAAAATACAAAGATCGCATACTACATGATATACGGATGACAAACGATGAGGAAATTCGAAGGAATATTAGTAAGGCTGGCCTAGCTGGCCTCAAAAATACCCAGCCAACACAAGGTCTCTAATTGTTTTGTATTTTTTTTGCAAAAATCAAGTCCGGTCCTGAATTATTTTATTGGAAAAAACCTACACGCAACTTTGTTGATATATTCAGATGCAAAACAAATATTTCAATACTTTAAGTCGAATGTAGAGAGTAATGTGCTCGGACGAAATCGAAGAAATATTCATCAGTATTTTGTATGAATTTTTTTTACCCAATCGGTCGAAACCTGCCGTACAAATTGTAAAGCTGCACTTTTTGTGTTTTTCCTGATCTTTCTGATCCTGCCGTACAAATTGTGAAGCTGCACTTGTAGTGTTTTTCCTGATCTTTCTGATGCTGATGAGAGTTTTTGGAAAATACGATCCAGAATGTCTAAATTATGACAGTTATGAAGAAAATGAACTCCCCAAGTCCGTCTCTGGAATTTATTCTCCATAGTAGGCCATTTTATGGTGTGTTAGTAGTGGGTAAGTTGCTGGTCATTCTGAGACGTTAACATCAAGACGTTCGTGAAATATCGTTCATCAAAGATTCGCCCCGAATTCAAATAATGCTCTGTATTTCTTTTACGAATAGGAAAAATATATTTTTTCACATATATATCAACTCACCTTGACTTCCTTCATTCTCCATTAGGCTATGGCTGGTTAGTCATGACTCACCCTGTGTATGATCCTAATGATGATCTTTCCGAGATCTTGCGGAGAGGTCTGTGTTACCTAGAAACTGACAACTGACTTGATAGCTTGACATTTTCAGCACGGGACATATTGTGAGATTGACTGATGTCATTTTATTTTTGTTTCAGGGCAAGGTAGTAATTCGGCCAATCGCTTTCAAGCCTTCTACCATGAGTCACGGTGGGAGATTCGGATTGGCTGGAGAAAGGTATGGCTCTACTCCAATCTTGACAAGGCCCGGATCCAGGCTGACGTTGTACGGAAGTAAGATTTCGATATACTAGGCACCTACTTCGTAAGAACATTACTGAAATCTCTGGTCTTTCAATTCATCGAAATGTTTCACCTGTCATTTTGTTTGTTACGACACGACACGTCTGAACTGCCATATTGAAAAAACTGTTTTCCTACGAGCGTTAGATGCCAACCAATGTAACAGTGAGGGTCCTAGCAAAACCAAAAATTTATTGTCATTAAAATAGAAGTGTATCTTGTACTCGATCTTGTATCAACCTATTCAGGAGAAAAAAAAATTAGATACATTTGGAGAGATCGAAAGATATTCGAAAAACATTTGAATTCCTCGAATAACTGCTAGAAATTCCTTATGTCAGTATCCATAAAATTGAATTCTAAGCAATTTCCTCTCGAATAAAAAAGTTATATTTACCAGTGATCACGTGACATGTGACGAAATCGATTTTTAGGTTATTAGACATGTATAATTGATCCCAGAGAAAAAATCGATACTCTAATAATATACTTTTTCCTCATAATGTAACGGACTTTATGGATCACACTGTATATAGCACAAGGATCAATATTTCCCAAGTTAATTCCTATTTTAAGTGAATGAAGAATAGAAAATCATATACAGAAATGAATTGAAGAAACTCTGCGGAAGTGATGAACCTACTTATTTCAATCGACAACTCGTTCAATGTTTTTGTATAATTAAATAAGAACGTAATTAAAATTGATGTTACACCCTTAACGTGAAACTCATAATTAATGATGAATTAACAGTTACGTCTAAGAAAATAATACAATTAATTGACTACGATTTATTGCATGGTCGTAAAATTTATAACAATCAACTTTATGATGTAATAATCATTCATGATGTATAAAATACAAGGATTGATATACAGGACGTTGAAATTGAAATTTCATAGCGATGACCTTGCCTCAAAGAGTGTAAAAGCAATTAAATGCAAACGATTTCTTAGATGTCTTTCAGATTTACAAAACTAGAACGGAGTTAAACTGATAAAGTATATGATGCATGAGTCCAACTCAAGTTTCCATTTCTTTCCTAGATGTTTCATCTACTACTTTTCTGGTAATTCGTTTTCTTAATACCATGTCCAAGTAGGAACTATTTCATGTTCTTTAGGTTTTATTGTTCTCTTGCATTTCGACACTCCCGGAGTGATGAATGGAGTTGATCCATCCCTTCCAGAGTGTTTTGGCACCAACATCAAAGTTGCCCTGTTGCGGTTTTGATAATACAGTTTGACTCAGCTCAGACAATCCGAGGTACCCTAGCCGGATATTCACCAAACTTCAACTTGTTTTGGGTGATATCCTCCTTCCTCTTCCTTTTCCAATCTATCTTACCTAGCAACTACAGACCGATCGCACTGTTATCTATTATTTCCAAGATCATGGAGAAAGCTATCAACAATGAGCTCATGAAATACCTGGAACATTCAGGTATTATCAACGATAGGCAATATGGCTTCCGTCATCAGAGATCAACTGGTGACCTGCTTGCTTACGTCTCACATATATGACAGCAATCTATTGAAAAATATGGTGAAACCTTAGCCGTGGCACTTGATATCTCCAAGGCATTCGATCGAGTCTGGCACCACGGACTTCTAGCCAAGCTTCCATCTTATGGCTTGCCTTCCCAGCAATGTTCTCTGCTAGCTAGTTTTCTCTCAAACAGGTCTCTCCATGTAGTGATCGATGGAGTTTCATCTGACTCTCTTATCATAAATGCTGGTGTTCCGCAAGGATCAATTCTAGCACCAACACTATTTCTACTCCATACCAACGATTTGTTGGAAGCAACTTCATGTCCAGTACACAGCTTCGCGGATGATACCAGCCAGGCAAATCAGAAACGAACGAGGAAGAAATGTTGACAACATAAATATGGACTTAGCAACAATTCACGAAAGAGGATCCAATAACTTGGTAGATTTCAATGCAAACAGAACACAAGCATGCCTTTTCTCTAGAAAATCCGATCTCACTGTGCCCTACATAAGCTTTTCAGGAGTAACCATACCTTTGAAGACATCCATTTTGATGCCTGGTATTACTATCAGCAATAACCTTTCTTGGGAAAATCACGTGAGATCAATTGCTGAAAGTGCATCCCAAAAACTTGGTTTTCTGTTTCGAGTCAAGAGCTATTTCACTTCCAATCAGCTGCTCATGATCTATAAGACACATATCCTGGAATACTGTTTCCATATTTGGATTGCAGCACCCAAACATACCCTGAACCTGTTGGATTCTGTACAAAAAAGGGCAATTCGTCTCGTGGGTGATGCCTCGCTCACAAATTCACTCACTTTTCTGGAACACCGTAGAAGAGTTGGCGACGGCTAAGGTTTCACTATATTTTTCAATAGATTGCTGCCATATATGTGAGACGTGAGCGAGCAGGTCACCAGTTGATCTCTGATAACGGAAACCATATTGCCCATCGTTTATAATACCTGAATGTTCCAGATATTTCATGAGCTCGATGTTGATAGCTTTCTCCATGATCTTTGAAATGATAGATAGCAGTGCGATCGGTCTGTAGTTGCTAGGTAGAGTCTTCTTTCCATTTTCAGGGACTGGTTGTACCCTTGCAATTTTTCAGTTGGACGGGAATATCCCCAATTTGTAAGAGTAGTTGAACGACTTGCAGAGAACAGGTGTTAGTTTGGGAGAAGAAATGTTCTCCCAAACTAACAACAGTCGGTGGGATTCCGTCGGAGCCACAAGCTTTGTTGGTGTCGAAACCCAATGAAATCTTCCTTATAGTACGTCGGAATCAATCGGCATCAAGGAAAGGCACACTTGCATTGTTTATGCGAATCTTTGCATACATTTCGGGAAGATGTTCTGCGTGGCATTCTGGCATCAGCCAGAAAATTAGTTGTTTTTCTCCCGTCATCTACCATTGTTGCTGATTTCATGAATATTTGTGAAGATGACTGAGTTTTGTATCTATTTATTTCCTATTTTCAGGCAGCAACGACATCCACCAACAAGCCTACAGTATGACCAATTACTCGCTGGACAGAAAACTGCGATCTTCTGGCCATTCGACAACGTCTTCTCCACCGTTGGCAACCAGTTCTCTCTCCTCTCTCCCCCACAGCAAACTGATCAGCTACGACAGCTTGGAAAGCGTCCGGAAATCGCCGATATCCAATGCCGATAGTTCCTTAACGTAAGTAGAGAGTGTAGATTGGAGTTTGAGCCGAGATAGATCACTGACAATGTTTTTTTAGTCACAAATTCAACAGCTGTTGATATTTCTTTCCTAACTGGTGCGGTTTTTAGGTCCATCTATAGTAAGGAGGTTATGTTTCCTACATATTCAATCAAGTATACATGAAAAATCATCACCAATCAATTTTAATGCGGTTCAGCCCATTCTTCTTCTCATTAGTGTTTTACTATACTTCGACTTTACATGACTCCAGAAGACGATATGTCTGCAATCTGCGGTCAGGACAGAGACCAGCCGATTTTGACGGGGAAAACGGTGTTTTATATAGGTAGTTCAAGACCAGTGGGACTCCAACTGATTCTCATCTGTTTATTGATTTCCAATTGATATTCATCAACAATTTGAACCATAACGTTCAGAATCGAAGATGTTGAAACTCTAGTAATTGAAGTGGATGTTATTCACCTCTCTTCAGACTTTGAAAAATAATGACTTCAATTAAAAATACAGTCCATTTTACGAATATCTTCCATTATAAGCTCCAACCAGATAGCACGTCTAATTTGTTCATAATTATTAATTAGAAGAAGATAAATGAATGAAAATCATTCGACCTTCACTGGTTTTGAACTACCTCCAATCACGATCAGAATGTCGTTTACCATATGGAAATCATCAGCCTTCCCTAGTCCAGGCACGAATGACATGCCTGATTTGTCTGTAGTAATTGATCGAACATCAATGAACAAATGAAAATCAGTGGAACCCTCAAGGGTTCTGTACTACCTCGACCTTCAATTACGAAAAGGATATCGATTAGCTCAAGAAATTCAGCTTTTCTTGGGCAGATCACAGATGAAACGCCTAATTTGATTATAATAAACAAATAAAAATCAATAAACAGATGAAGTTCGCCTGAAATCATGTGAAGTGGGAAAGATATTGAGAAAAAGACTGGACTTCACCATATTCAAATTGGCCTCGATATACCTGATTCATTCATTATGATTGTTTATTGATAAATAAACAAGAGAGCGTTGCATGAGATGATGTGACTTCGATGTAGAGGCAATAACAAAGAGAACGGATTTTGCCCCATCGGAATCGAAGCTTTTTCACCGTGAACTCTTACTATCATTAACACTACCGCCATTCATTCATTCAAGTATGAACACGCTTGTGCCCTGAGTCAGGTTTGACATCTGTTCCTAAGCCAGGACATAAACAAAGACTAGTAAACAGCTTCTGTTCTATTTCAGCAACAAACCTTCCTACCACATGCTGATCTCTGGCTCGAACGAAGGCAGTCTAATGGACCTAACGCCTTCTCCTTCCGATTCCGGTGTTTCTGAGCTGGAAGCAGCCCTCAGAGACCGCGATTCTGAGCTGGCTTACCTGAGACAAACGATGGAGCACAATGAGCAGGTGATCTTCAGAGTATACCAGGAGAAGGAGAAGGTTTGGGAAAGGGAGCTGAAGCGTCTGAAAAACGTACAGGACAGCAGACTGAGGACGAGTGCTCAGAAAGTGAGGGTGAATACCTTGAACTGACTGCGCAGAACACTGATTTTCGTTGTCGTAGGTCGTGAAGCTGGAGCAGATGCTGATGATGCAGACGTACCAGCAGCAGCAGGAGAAGAAGAGGTTGTGCGCAGACGTGCAGAGGTCGAATTTGCAGTGCGACAGGTTGCTGCAGGAGGTGTCAGAGCTCAGGGGTCGCTTGGAGGAGACGGAATGGGGGCTGTGCCAGAAGACTGGGGAAATATCTTTGCTCAAAACTCAACTCAAGGAGTTCCAGGTGAGGAAGCCAACGAAAAATACTTTTTTCTCCGATTGGCAGCAAATATCAATTTTGCTGACACATATCAATCAGCAAAGTATTACTTTTCCTGCCTAGGCAGCAAAGTGGTTACTCTGCTGATTGATATGTATCAGCAAAATTAATAATCCATGAATCGTTTTTAATTTCCTCCATATTTCATTCGAGACTCCTCCGGCAACGAATTCAACTCTACAGGAAAAATAAAGAGATTGTAGGAATTGTAATAATTTGCAATAACAATATCCTCCTATATCATTATGAACAATCGGAGAAAAAATTATATGTTCAACTCGGCAGTCAATCAACTACTTTGCTGCCTAGTTAAACAAATAACTATTTTCGGCAAACGTCCGGGAAATGCTCAGTTCCCAGATGATTTTTCTTTTCATTTCAATTTTCTGGCCTAGTCCGGGAAGTATCCCATTGTTGTTGTCACTGTAACTATGAAAATCTTGGTAGATATGGTTTTGATAAGGATGGAGAGAAGGTGGTGAAATCACCGATTGTGTTTTGTTTTGACCAAAACGTTTAAACCTCATTGTTCAACAATAATGGCATAATAGTTCTCACTTCTCCGCAAGATGGCAAATTTCTTACAGATTCCTGTAATATCAACCTTACTTTTTGACAATTGTGTGTCCATCCTCGTTTTGATAAATGCAGATGGTTAATTACCATGCCAGCGAGATATTGGCTGACAGCTATTTGACATGAAATTAGTTGATATTTTGATTTTTGAAAGTTTGGTAGCAATATTATCGCGATAAACTATCGGAAACACTTGCGATAGTTAGTTTGAAAATGTCCATACGAAATTTCCAATGTAACCGTTAGTAGGTATAGGTATTCTGTTCAAATTTCAATATTTCATACAATTGAGAATTAATGAAGATGAAATTGTATACTACAAAGAAATATAATATGGAAATGTGTCTGATCGATTTGTTATTCTACATGGTTGCCGAAAAAATAGTGTACACAACACGTCAAAAAAACAGTTTTTTTGGACTCGCAGACTTCCAGGACTCGCCTACGGCTCGGCCTAAAACTTTTCCTACTCGTCCAAAAAAACAGTGTTTTCCGGACTTGTTACGTAAATTACTATTTCCACCTCTAACCTGAGAAATCACCATAATCCAAAGGCAAATAAAACTGTCAATAGTGACATTATCAAAAATCTTTCAGAATCTTATCTTGCGAATAGGACAATTAGCACTAAATGTAATATGTCAGAGTCTAAAAGACTTTCAATAAGTGAATGTGTTCCACAGGGATCTGTTTTAGGGCCCATCTTGTATTTATTATATATTCAGAATATTTCCAAAATTGGATTATCAGGTAATTATACTACATATGCAGATAATACTGTACTTTTATAGGAAAACTAAAAACACATCAATCTAGAGAATATTATTAGCGAAGATTTGAAAAAATTTGAAAAATGGCATTATTCATAACATAACCACTTGACCTATGATCATTTTAGTAATATGCCATGTATATTCACACGGAGAATAGCATTGCTCCTTCAATGCAAATGAAAATCTAAACTGATGAAAGATGTTGATTCTTCAGTGTTAGTAGTGGAACAAATATTATATACAGGGTGTATTTAAATTACACCGAAAAAATTCAAGAGGCGATTCCTTATGATATTCTAGCAAATAATATGAACACGTGTCCTAACTGGCTCCGTTTTTAGATACAGGATGTTGAAGTTGGAAGTATTAATTATTTTTATGTATGGTTGGAGACTGAGAAAGCCCCAAAATTTCAAAATGATTCTAATGGGAGTTATTGAGTAATCTCAATGGAGCATTACTATACTTTGGAATTGTTCACTCAGAAATTGAGCTAGATAAAAAATTACAAACACAGGATGAAAAAGTTATTATTTCAATTGTTCAATCTAATAAAACAATTAAACGAAGCAAGTTAGGACACACATTTATATTAACTTTATTTCCTGAATTATCTCAAGGAATCGCACCTCGAATTTCTCCGGTGTTATTCACTATTTCTGTGTGATAACACGAGGACCATTCTCTTTTCAGAATGATCACGTCAACAAGTGCCAAGAGCTTCTTCAACTCCGCTCTGATCACCGCGAGCTGACACACCATTTGGAAGAACGAAACAACCAAATCGAAGACTTGAAATGCTCTAACGCCTCTAAAAACGAAGAGATCCTTCAGCTCAAAGGAGAACTAGCAAGGCTGAGCAACAAAGCTCCAGAACAATACGACTCTCTCGAATCAGGAAGGAAATCCTACGGAGACTCAGATGACCTTGAAACGGAAATTAAGGGACTGAGACATAAGCTGTCGGATGCTAGTATCAATGATTACAGTAGCGTAGAGCCAGGGTACCGAGGACCTTTTATATCCCAAGAGGACTCTTTGGAAGACTTGGAGATCCAAAAATTGAATGGCTTGAGCAATCAGCAAGACGGTTTTTTCGAGATAGAAAGGCTCCGCCAGGCTCTGGTGACGAAGACTCAGCAGTTCGAGAGGGAACGGTCGACTTGGGCTCAGGAAAAGGAGAAAGTGCTGAAGTATCAGAGACAGCTGCAGCTGAACTACGTTCAGATGTTCAGGAGGGCTAGGGCGCTAGAATCAGAGATACAAAATTTGTCCATAGAGTTCGAATTCGATAAAACAGGACCGGAGAAGAATGTGGATTCGTCACATAATGTACATTAATGTGCACTTAACTTTTTCTTGTATAGCATTGAAGCTATAATTTGAAGTTAAAAGTTATTGTGCTTTGTTGTTGTTTTTTTGTACAATTGAGAGTGAGTCGCCACCCACCATGTGTTAACTATCAATATTTTCACATTCGCCTTTGTATTAGTGATTCGACTACCCATGTGATTTTTCTTCATTATTTATTTTATGCACTGTAAATAAGACTTCCTTATTACTTACATATTAACATGATACTTTACCAACGTTATTTTCGAAGTAGTGTAGCTTATTTGTAAATATTTATTCATGACATAGTACACAATAAATGTTAATTTTATTATAAATTTCGCTTTTTTGTTCACCCAGGAAGATTGTGTCACTGGACATAATTATCTTCTATTGGAAAATCTGAGAGAACTTGGTCTCAAAAAACATTGATTATCTACGAGTTTTGTGATTAAAATCCGATTCTTTTAATACAAGATGGCGGATCCAAAATGGCGGATTTTGTAATTAGGATCCGATTCCATTCAAATTTGGTATCTGGTGGTTCTCGAGGTCGGAGATCATGATTCTTTTGTCAAAATTTGGAAAGGGCGGGATTTGGAAATTCAAGACGATGGAACCAATATACGACCGAACGAGTTTTGTAATTATATAACGATTCTATTCAAAATTTGAAAGTGGACGTTTTCGGGATCCAGAATTATGATTCTTTCGTCAAAATTAGGAAATTCAAGATGGTAAAATGGTAATTTTTTTTTTAGCAAAACAAAGTTGGCGAGGTCTGCTCTAGTCTAAGTATAAGTCAAATGACAACTTCATGATTCAAATATTTATTTTCCATTTGAAATCAACGGTCACACAACATATGAAAACATGATTAATTCGAAATAAAAACATAAAACACATAATAACACACATCTACAGTGCCTATGGAAACTTCAAAATCGAGGTCTAGGGTATACTGTTTTGTTCTTCAACGTGAGGTTATCTAGTGGTCTAGACTCAAGAAGATGCCTGTTTTTTGGGTTTGCTTGTGCCTTCTGTGGTTGATTGGGTGCCTCTTGAATATCGATGATTTTTGTGTTTTTTCTATAAGGAAACAAATCAGATTCAGTTCATGAGATTGACAAACAATCTCGAGTATCCATGAAGCAACACTTTGGAATTATTTTTTATCATATTTTTTATCTGATCCCATCTCAAATTATTATTGATTTGATATCATCAAGAAAGTATTCGTCTAATCATCGGAGATTCATGAGTATATCATCTACTGAAATAAATTCCAGAATTTTTTTTGTGTTTATTCAATTCTCACATACCTGTACTTGTACCACCAATATTCGAAAGCTAGAGTGACGCAAGCCAAACCAATACCAACAAAAATAACGATGAAAACTCCTCCGATGTTTTGTATACTTATTCCGTCAGATTGATCGTCAACCTTATCACAGTCTTTCTTTTCCGGATTTTTGTTCCACCATTTTTCCTTCAGACGTTCCAATTCACGACGATTCAACAGTTGCAATATACTGAAAATGAATATTTATTCAAAAAAGTATTGCACAAGGTATTTGCATCATAACTAGCAATTTCTTTCTATTTGCCTAGAAGTCATTAATTCTGTGCTCTATCCCAAATAAAGAACAACCCCCACAGAGAAGGGTTCCTGTTAAGAACTGAGGAAAATGTCTATCAATTATAGTTGGAAATCGAATTACCTCAGCAAGAAAAGTTGGAATGATAGGTAATGATCTTTGCTAATCAAGATGGGTGAGCCAACAGATAGTTGCATGACTTGCTTGCTTTAGTTATTCAGAAATCTCACAGGCTTGTTTCCTTGGAGGAAGGTGAAACTTTGACTGAAATCAAATTCCACTTCACCTAATTCCCACTCAGTTTGGTATGGAGAGCAATTTACAGATTCCTTTGAAATTTTGGAGCAAAGATCGATCTATTGAATTCAATATAGACAGTTGACCAGAAAAGGTTTTCGAGTAATGAATGAAGAAGAGGTCTTCTCTAAGAACTTTGAAACCAACACTGAGGAAAATTGTGCTATTAGAGCTTTCGCAAAAATTTTTTTGTAAAATTGTTCTTATCCCTTATTCGGTTGCCCCCTTACGAGCAACCCTCAGAAGTCTTCAAGAGACTTGTGCGAGCAAGGAATGACGAGAGTCTTACCTCTTAACGTGTGATTCCAAACACTTTCTTAGGCCATCAGAAAAATGTCTGCGGTCGTGGTGGGAATCGAACCCACCCCCGGCAATCCAACGTGGATAGAACATTGACGCTTTAACCACGATGCTACGCTGGCCAAAAGAAGCAGCACATTGAAGTCCTATGATAGCAATAACGACTTTGCTAAAAGTCAGTACGACAATCTACACGACACGACAGTTACGAATATACTTGCTCTCTTGAATCTTATTCATTTTCCGAAATCCCAATCTGAATAAAGAAAATTTGAAATCTTCTGTGTCCTTTTGCTTCCGTATATCTGAGTGCCTCAGTTATCACCAGGATTGATGGAATGATGAAGATGAGTTTATTCAAGGTATTTTGACTGAAATATTCATATTTTCCATTTGCATCCCCCCCTTGTAAGCCCAATGAAACTTTAAAATTGTTTGATTGGTTCCAGACCTTCTCTATGGAATGTCGTATGAAAAGTTATTGTGAGCAAGAATGTTCAGGTAGGTTATAAAATTATTTGAATGATTTCACGGGTGACATTTCCTATCCTGTAATAACTTGCCAGGTTCTCGAAGACAAAATCTGTTTTTCATTAATTACTCAAAAACCTTATGTTTTTCCTGAGGGTGAATCAACTGTTATTTGTACAGAATTCAGAAGATCTTTGGTCACAAATCTTCTTCAGGATTCAATCAATCGTTGTTCATACCACACAGGGTGGAACTAACTATACATCTTCGAGACGGCAATCTATCTTTCACTCAAGATATTTCTAAAACTAAACCACATACATAATCAACTTCAGGGTACTGAATGAGTGCTGGGTCAACATAAATTATGTGGTATGTGAAAAGCAGGGGTAATCCAACAAATCGGATGCTGTATATATGTCTTGATGAGGAATGATGTCGCCTTAAGGATCGACAATAAATACAGGCCTTGCTACCAACATATTTTAAGTAAGCGAAAGAAAACAACGGCGGCCTATCAGTCCTCAATGAACTCACGCAGTATTGAATTGGTCCTTGAGTGGCGACCCCTGTTGCACGGCAACCGCGTACGGTTTCCTGGAAAACTCCTCCCCCACCCTGGTCAGATCGCAGTTGGTCAGCTCCAAGTATCGCACGTCGGTCGCATCCCCCAAGAAAGCGAACCCCTCGCTGGACGACTTCGAGGCTCTCACCCTGTCAACGGCCTCCTCCATGTTGGCCGGCAGGCCGGCCTCTTTCATCGCTTGCCACATCTTGGTGTACTTGTCGCTGACTGGGTAGTCCCACACGGCGAGCTTGGCGCGCTCGACCTCTGATAGGCTGTCGTTCAGGCTCATGTCCTTCCAGATCCTGCGCGGAAAGGCGGCCTTTCAATTCATTATACTCTGTGAAAGCGTCTTGAGACAGGGCGCTCCAAATATTGCCGCGCGACTTGCTAGCGTTGAGCGTATCAGCATATATTGAAGACTTTATGATAATAATAATATAATATAACTTCATTCGGGAAAGAAATAGTTTACAAGTATATATAAATGCGAATAAAGTTGGTTTGGCGATATGTGCTATCGCACTTGTTTCGCAGGAAATACAATTTCCTAGGAGAGTAAGATATCTCAGGATTCAGTTTAGTTTTTAGTTTAGAATAAGTTATATGGAATGAAATATTGTATATGGATTTCAGACAAATCTTTGAGCTCGTTCACTAAACTTAAACTCAACGACATTCATGAATTGTTCTTCAATCATTCTATCTATATGGATAACAGCCATGCTCGCTGTTATGATTAATAGTTTTTTCATAGGAATCCTATGAAATTAGTAAATTTTGAAATTGTTTCATCGGCATTATGAAGATTGGTAGTGAACGAAATTGTTTCCACTGGACCTAATGCAATCTTGCTCTGTGTGTGATAAAGATACTCTTTTCTACCCTGGAGTACAAATAACTCTTGATCGCTATAACTAAAAATGAATAATGTGCTGTTTCCTACTCATAAAATCTAGATTCGATGTTGGCCATCCTCTCGAAGTAAGTTTGCGTAGAGGAACTGTTCAGTGGTGCGTACTGGATCTTGTACTGTTTCGACAAATCATCCAGAGATTCAATAGGAGTGTCCAACCGAGACACCGTCAAAAAAGCTGCCAAATTGGCGGTGTAAGAAGCGATGATGATGAATCCAAACAACCACCACGTAGCAGCAACAAGTCTTCCTAGAAAGAAGAAAAAAATAGAAACAATCTCAGAGCGTGATTTACCAACTTGAAGACTTCTTCGAGATTGATTTTGGAAATGGGTTTTTTGAATTGTAGTTCTGCCTAGAGTCGGTACCTCAGGTTTCTCACTTTGAGCCACTGCTAGTATCCTCGCTCATCGATAACAAATAAATATCATTATTGAAAAAAAACTGTATATATTGTTATTTTTACCAGTTCGAGTTGACGTAGACTATTCATGTTGTTCGATTATAATGTGAATGCTTTCACCAGCTTTCTTTGGTTGGCGGTGGTCTTTGCTGTGAGTACTTATATCGTTGAGATCCAATATCATTGTAGCAATTCATTTAAAAAATATTGAAGCAAGTATCTATACTACCTGATAGATTTTTTGGAGCTTCTCCCCCTCCTTGTGGAGTTAATGACGTCATGCAGAACCACAAACATTCTTTGAGGTTGAACTCTCGTTTTTCTTCGTCGTCCTTATACTTCTCCCTGTTGTTTTGGTAGCTATATGGAGACCAACGGTCGAAAATCCACATCAGAAAACTGAAATTGAATATGTTTAATCTGTGAGCTATGCACTTATTTCTCAAGATAGTGCATACCTTGTGAAGAAATAGGCTGCAAGAATGCACAACCAAACCTCATTCTCCAGGACAGTCAAGAATTTGAATAAGCTGGTAGGAGTTTCCGGGAGCTTCATCAAAATAGTGATCCCTACCAGATCATAGTAGGGTACCGTGAAATCGATAACATTTTCCCTCTCTGCCATCACAGACATGGAACCGAGACCAATGTCTGCTCTTTTCTCTATCAGTTCTTTCACAGCACCATTCCATTTCCCGTTTTCGTCCATCACTCCGAAACTTTCAACTGCTGTGATTTCGTAGTCGAATTTCAATATCTCGGCGATTTTGTCAATGAGATCTACGCAGTACCCGTTGAAGCCGCTACGAGTGGTTTCATCTCTGAATATAAACGGTTTTTGCTGAAACAACAACAACAAGCATTGAATATATGTGGATCAGGTTTCTATGATGTTTCTCACCTCAACTGTTATCACTCTATAAACAACATCAGCTGTCAAATTGACCATCGCTTGAGCATCAACTAGGGTCAAGTTATTGTCGAAACCAGATAACCAAGTCCCCAAGTTCAGTGATTTATCCGAGGCACCTTCTCTAACTCCTACTGAAGTTAGTTGCATCTGGAACTCCATGTAACTCAGACCATTAGAGATCACACTTATCGGTCCATAGGTTGGAGTTTCAGTACTTTCCTGTAAAATACCTGTTGCATATTTCGCTGTCTGAGAGTACTGGAGAAATAATCACCTTGTTGAGATATTTCTTCAGATCTAAGTTCGTCCTTTTAGGGCTATTATTGCCATTATAATCATCGCAAGAAACATAATCATTGCCAGCATTCTTCCACGTACCATCTAAAATTATGTCTCTGAAATAGAACAACTTGTATAGGTAGTGAAGTTTTTTGTGAGCTATACCTTGACGCATGCGTCTCTTTCAATTCAATCTTCACGGATACCCAAACAAACACGCCATAATGACGCAGAATAGTCCTAACCTATCTACTGATCAAATCGGAGGAGCGATGATAAAATATTTCTCCATCTAACATTCTTACCTTATAGCAAGAAATGAATGCAGTACAAGGTCAAAATAAAATGCTGACGCAATAATCGGTTCAGTGTTCAACTGATAAGTTCTCTGCATGGTTCCCAGTCTGTCTTGGTATGCTGCATTCGGTGAAGGTTTCACAAACATGATTGTGGCATTACGACAAACGCATTTCAGTTCTCCATCATCTTGAGTGATGGCATGCCAGGCAAACTTCCTAAATTAGATAGGAATAAGATCAGTTGTGGAAAATATTATTTGTAAAAAATTCACAAACGATAAGATTTACGACTTTATTATTTTCAGTACTGTACAATATTCACATAAATTTTTTATAAGTAGATAATATGTACTGAAAATGAAAGGCGAAGTTCAACTCATATAGTAGGTAAACCTACTATTGCCTTGTTCTTCCACTCAACCATCAAAGGTCTCAAAAATCAAATTGGAGCTCTTAACTTAAACAACATCCTTTTATTATCATTAGATTTTTTCACTGGGGAGGGTCTTAGAAATTGTTCAGATCTGATTTTCACTCATCTTTAGCTGAAGACTGGTTTTGAATTTTGACAATTTTAGGGATTTCATATGGTTAGGAATATAGTTATTGTATACATTGCAAATTTGGTAACTGAACGAGCGTTTGAAAAATTCAGTTTTGAATTGAGGCGGCGTTAGAAGTCTTTTGAACCGTACATTGATTGTATGTACATCAGTTCTGAATTTTAATTCATTATACAGGTAGAGGGGACTATATACTATGAAAACAAATTCAACAGTGTTTATTCTTGATGGTAGGATGAACTTCACACCCTTATTAACATAAAATTGCAACATATTAGTATGATACACAGGCTATTGAATGACCCTCTTTCGGAAGTAAATTTCAATAAAGAACTCAATATCATAAAACATATTGCAGTCAACAACGGTTATAACGTCAATTGGATAGACAGTATTTTTTCTAAATAACTTCATAATAAAGCTATCCAAGAAATTTTCCCCACCATCGAGAATAATAATCAAAATTATAAGAGTTTGAACTATTTCGGATTATCAACTGGAAATTTAGCTTCATCTCTACATAAACAGGACTTAAAAGTAGATTATATAACAAATAACACGTTGGGAAAAACAATATTAAAGACAAAACTTCTAGATTCGAAAAATCAGGGGTATACAAACTCAACTGTGGATCTTTTCCTAAGGTATATATCGGTCAGACAGGTCGTACGTTTAATTAGCGCATTCATGAACATAAGATGGATTTTTTTTAAAAGAAAACGAATTCAACATACGCCAACCATATATTAGAGGAAAACCATAGTTTTGATGGTAATTTCGGAATTCTACACGTAGAAAACAAAGGAATGAAACTCCATTAAATTCGAATCATTAGAAATCAACAAGCTCAAAAATTCTGACATTTTACTTAACGATCAGTTAGACCTCGATAGTTCACCACTGTTGAATTTGTTCTCTCAGTAAGCAATAATATGTATTTGCTATATACCCTTCCAAGTTAATCCGGTATACACCGTATTTCAATGTAGATATTGTGCCTAATTTATGAAAATGAAGGTTCATCGAAACTGTCTACAGGTAACTAATCCTTCAGAATGGGAAAGTAGGATATACAGGGTGGTTCTCAAGTACGTGGAGAAAATTCAGGTTCATGTTGCTGACGTCTAAATAGGAAGAAAAGTTCGTATAAACATATGTCCAAAAATTATCCGTTTCTGAGATACAGAGTGTCAAAGTTGAATTCTTATTGGAAAGAGTCCAAAAAAGCAGGTACAAATAAGTAAGAATCATATTTTGCCTACATTCCAATGTTGAATGAAGAACAATATTGAATGAAAAAAGAAAAATGCACTGATGTACCTATCTTTTCTGATATTCACTAGAGGCGACCTACGAGCCACATGGAAATAATTCGATTACCTACATCGATTATTTCGAATCCCAATAACTCGAAAACAGTTGCTCGCAGCGACCTCTACCACGAATATATTTTTCACACAAAAGTGTTCTAGAGATCTATTTTTGTACTATGTACTACGGGTACGCACAAAAAAGTTATGACTCTTGAGAATATTCAAAAGATATGTAGGTGGCGCCAACAAAAAACAAAAATGAGAGTTCAACTTTGACACTCTGTATCTCAGGAACGAATAACTTCCGGACATATATTTATACGAACTTTTCTTCTCATTTTGACGTCAGCAGCATGCTCCTGGATTTTCTACACGTACTTTAGAAACACCCTGTATAAGCAAGTCAAGGTTAGGTTAGTTCATCGTACCAGTATACCACCTGACGAAGCTACTGTGTTAGCAAAACATGTCGTGTGTTTGAGAATTTTGTGGAAATCTTATCGTTTGTGAATTTTTCACATTGGCCATGGAATTTCATCAAGTAACGGCCGAGTCAATTCAAAAAAGTTTATTTGAATGAGTAGATGCCATACCTGTTAAAATAGCTTAGACTATCGGCAGCATCAAGTACTTTCTTGATGTTTCTCAAACTCGCTAATATGAAGAAGTTGACCAGGTCCAACTTCCTGAGTTGGGTGAGTTGCTCGGCAATTTGGTTTGTCTCCTTGATGGGTGTTATAATATGTCTAGTAGCCACATTTTGTAGAAGAGATTTGTATTTATGATCCATCACTAACAAGAAAGAGTCAAAATGAAATTTTGCGAAAATCGATATTTTCTGTGATTATATTACCAAAAGACGTATCGTAGAGTATCGCAGCATTAGTTATATTCTGATTCAGAACAAGGGTTCTTACAATCTCCGGTATTATATCAGCTGGTGGGCTGATTTGTATCAAATAGTTAGTTTCGTTCTCGTCTATGTTACGCCACTGCCTCACATCCCCTTCTTGTCCAAAGGAAGCACTGACAGTAGGCAATGCCAGTGCCTGCGTGAAAGATTTGACAGTTTCCGAAGCCAGACCTGTCATTGTCGTGTCCAGAACCAGGTGTGGAAAGGTTTCGCTAACGAGCATCGAGTTGTACGTCGAACATACTGTACAATCATCGAGAACAATTAATAGATGTAATGAAAACTAGGTCACATCATAGGAATTTTCTTTTGTGCGCTCCAATAGAAATAGAACAGTTGCATGAATATGATATGATATCTGTTTATTCTTTATTCGAAACGTCCAAAGATGAGTAAAAACTCGATATTTTTTCAATATATCTATATTTCTTTCTTTCAAACATTTTTTCAAACAAAGTGTAACTGACAAGCTACTGGATTTTTCTTTCGTGCGCTTCAAGCGATAAAAAAAAATCATTTGATTTGTCCCACTACAAATATATTGAAATAATACGCATATTTTTATTTTTTAGAAACGAGGAGAGAAAATCCCAAAAAATCGAGTAAAATGACTGTACCACCTCCTCGATTAATCTATAGACCTATTGAAAAAACTGTTTTTCCTGTGACGGGAAAAAAGTTTGGTATTTCATCTCTGTTGGCAGGTTATAAAATGTCACTTTTCATAAATTACCATTTTACCGTGGGAAAAAAGTGAGTACTTTTTTCCCGGATATATATCACATATATATATATACTGTTGATGGCTTTTGTTGTGCAATAGTTCCGAAAAATTAGTCAATAATACCGTCTCCTGAGAAAGAAGAAGAAGTCCTTTTATCATCCATTCGACTTCGCGGTTACGTATATTACTGAACAACCACTGAATTCGCAATGTTTTGAAATCAAATCACAGAAGTAGACTGACAGAAGTGACATCAGATATTTGATTACTCCAAAAGAATGATAAAGATGCCTTCAACGTAGGTGTCCCTACTTGTTAAAAACTTAAAATTTCACGTCGATAATTTTCAGATTTCAAAATAATGTGATATCTTCTCAATATTGATTCGTCCTTTCTTCTGTCACAGAAAAAAATAGTGTATTATACACGGGAAAAATATTAAATTTAAGTTCATGGTTTTTTGTCTCCCTCCGCTACGCGTCGGAAGACAACACAACCTGGAGCTAAAATCTACTACTTTTTTCCCTTGTATAATAATAGTTATTTAACCAACTAGTTTATTAATCGCCTTTCGATATACAAATTGGTTACGAAATTTTTCCGTCGACTATATTTCTCATTTCTCCTGCAATGAAGAAAACTTGGTTCGCGAAGAATCACCCAGTAGCCTTGTTACTGACATTAGTGACATTTGTCGAAATGATCAACATAGAAAATAAATTCCTTCTGTTGGAAAACAGGGATCAAAATCGTGTAAGAAACTTGGAAAGGCGAACCCGTTAACGGAAAATCTTGGATGAAATCCATATTTTCGATTTGAATGCAGATTCCGTAAGTTATAGCATAAACAATGAATGCACGCGGTGTATGTTTGGTTGCCTATGAAACAATCGTGCATTAATAGCCAAATTGATCATTAATAGGGGTCATTAATGAACGATTCCATGAACATAAAACTTACTCGTTAATACGAGGTCGACGGAAAATAAATATTTCTACTCTTTTTATTTCTCAATCAACGATAAAAATACTGTGTGGAGACCTATTGAGGTATTCATACCTATATCAGGTATAGGACAGAATTGAATAATAAGAGTAATATCTTATTGCAGGAAGATTATGTCACTTTTTGAAGGTATAAACTCACATGACTCCAAGAAGGCAGTTGAATCTGTTCTGTTGCCAACAACCCTTCTGAGTTCTACATTGATGCCAAGTTTGTTGTTTTTCTTCAGATACGTCATTGCCACTTCTAGTGCTTTGTCTGCTACGACATTGCCTTCTTCGTTTGCAAAAACTGAAAAAGTATGTGACGATCGAATTATTTCACATGTGATACAGGGAAATTGTTAGTGTTAAATGGCTACTGGGACAATTAGTATCTATTTATTCTTCTAATAGCTATTATTATGGTCTTAACATTTGTCAAGTGAACATGGCGTTCCCGCTAGTGAAATTAAAATTTCAAGTCATGCATATACTGCTATATCATATTTGTGAAGATTCTTCGTTTATGTGCTGCGCTCTGAGATGTGTGGTGTTGAGTTCAGGATCTGTTATTTTTTGGAGAAGATAATGAAATACATAACTCTCCCAGAACAGTACATAATTGTTGACAAATACATGATTCTCTTAATCATCCGATGTTACTCGGAGTGTAAAAAAGTGAGTATGAGTATGAAAGTTAATCCAAAGTTCACTTGTGCATCTCCATCACTGAAGAAAAAAAAAGTGTACCAGTGCACCTGATGGACCGTTTTTCTCGGCGTATGATCCTGATATACCCTGTATCTACTATCTCAATATTTGTCGTCAGCCTTACCTTTTTGACATTTCTGGATTCATCATCGCTATACAATGAATGTGTGAAATGCAGGCGTTTTTGTCTTTTTACCAAAGTCATCATTTTTCAGAGAACAATATATGTAATATTTATAGTACCTAGCTAATGACAAGTAAATAAGTCACTAATGACAAGTGCATAAGTCACTGATGACAAGTAAATAAGTTACTAATGACATGGGATTGAGTCACTAATGACAAGTGCTGTGTTCACTAACGGTTATCAATCAATTCAAAGGAACAGGTTAATAGTGGTGGGTGTATACATTTTCAAGAACACAAATATTTTTGTGGTTATAAACTTGTTTCCTCGTCCCAAATAGTGAACACGATTTTACTTGCCACTATTGAATATTCATTTAGGGTAAGTGATTTTTTCTTCGTGTAATAATAACAATCGAGAGATTATGACTGAGATCTTCGAAAGAACAGTCAGATCAACAGAAATCTCCTTTCCAATAATAGAACATTTTCATCGTTCAAGGTAGCGAGATACAGCCACTTCCTAAAAAAACTTTATCCTACGCCCATGATCCCTAATCATTCCTATATAATCTTTAGGTAATTATATATACTTACTGACATTAATGTTTTGAGTGGTTTGTCCATCACAGTAGTTCAATAGAATCGCGAAAAAAATCACGGCAATTGTTTCAACGTCAAGTTTTGAGTACATATTCTCATCTGGTACCTATTCTTGGATATGTGCCTCAATCAATGATTATGGAGTAAATGAAAGAAATTTCGATATATGTGGACTACTTGTTGCTATGGAAAGTTTGACTGTACACATACACAACACATCCGATCATACATTTTTTATCATACCATCAATTTGATTAATTATCAATAGGACGTTTCGTGTTCAATGGTCTGGTAATGCTTCTGATGTACAGTGCTGCCCAAATGAATCGGCATGCCTCAGCTTTTTTATATGATGCTCGAATGCAAATATCATGCGAAATTGTTGTTGTTGTTGTTGTTGTAAACAAACATGAGCAATGTTAGTCCACAAATCCGCGAAACGCTAGGTATAAATGAAAGTTAGGACAAGTGATATTGATGGAAACCTCTTGGGACCATTGATTTGCCATGCTTACTTCTTGTCCAGTACACAGCTTCGAAGATGATAGTACCCTCCATACCGCCTTATCTTCCAGGGCTCCAATACCAGCCAGGCAAATCAGAAACGAACGAGGGAGAAATGTTGACAACATAAATATGGACTTGGCAACAATTCTCGAATGGAGATCCAATAACTTGGTAGATTTCAATGCAAACAAAACACAAGCATGCCTATTCTCTAGAAAAGTCGATCTCACTGTGCCCAACATGAGCTTGTCAGGAGTAACCATATCTTTGAAGACATCCATTTCGATGCTTGGTATTACTATCAGCAATAACCTCTCTTGGGGAAATCACGTGAGATCAATTGCTACAAGTGCATCCCAAAAAGTTGGTTTTCTGTTTCGGGCCAGGAGCTTATTTTACTTCCAGTCAGCTGCTTATGATCTATAAGGCACAGGTCCGACCTGTCCTGGAATACTGTTCCCATATTTGGAGTGCAGCACCCAAACATACCCTGAAACTGTTGGATTCTGTCCACAAAAGGGCAATTCGTCTCGTGGGTGATGCCTGCTCGCTCACAATCTCACTCACTTCTCTGGAACACCGTAGAATAGTTGGCGATCTGGCTCTTTTTCATAGATATTTTTATGGACGATGCTCTTCTGAAATATCAAAAATTGTTCCTTTCTTGGCAGTCCCCGCGAGATTAACTCGTCGAATTGAGGCTTCGCACCCCTACGTGGTCACTTTGGAGACCTGCAGAATATCTCTTTCCAAAGACTCGTTCATCCAACGAACAGCGAGGCTCTGGAACACATTGCCAAGGGAGGTGTTCTCCGAGGCAAATAACCTCCAGAAGTTTAAGAAGAACACCGTTCCTACCTCATTTCCCTTGATTCTCACGATGTTGTCTGGACATTACAGAATATTCCTTTTCGTGAGAACAAGAACATAAGAAAAAATTGTCCGACTTATTTTGAATAAGATTGTTGATAACATTTTACGGAGTTTTGAGCCCGGGTGCCCAGTATCATTGTTGAATCTACTATCTGAATTACTTATTATTATATCTATACAGGGTTGGGATGAAGTATGGAACTAAGCAAATATCTCGGTAACCGTTTGTTACATTCTTTTGAATTTATGTACAGGATGATTTCAAAACGTGTCGGATTTGAAAATGTAATCGCCAATGTTGCCACTTCTCCAGTTATTCCGGAATTATTATCAACTTCATTTTTTAAACAGAACATCTTCTATTTCAATGAATTTTCAGATTCTCCTTGGAAAGCTGATTCCATTGATCTATCTCACTTGTGATCTAGCGGCAATGATTACAGAGATATAAGGGGTTCAAAATTGATATTTTTCAACTTTAGGATTTTTTTTGTCTAAACTATTCATTATTCATCGAAATGCCCCACATGTCTGTCTCAGATACAGGGTGATAAGAATTCTGATTCTTGAACCACCCGGAATTGGTTCCAATCAAATACCTGTAGATTGAAAATCAAAATTTTGGATAGGGACATGTAAGCCATTTTCACCAATGATGAAAAGTTTCAACACAAAAAAGTTCTAAAGTTGACAAATCGTGATTTTGAACACCCTATTCCTTTGAAATCGTTCCCGCTAGACTCCAAGAGTAATAGATCGATGAAATCAGAATTCAGGGAGGATCTGAAAATCCATCAAGATACAGGGTATTCTATTTGAAATAAGGAAGCTAATAATATTTCCGGAATAGCTAGAATGTGGCAACATTGGCAATACAATTTTCAAATCAGACACGTTATGAAATCACCCTGTACATAAATTCAAAAAAAAATCTCACAACCCTGTATATCTCTGAGACTACCGACTACTTCATTTGTTATCACTTGTATGAAAAATATATAACTATCGAATTCAGTTTCAGTACTTATAGTCTTTATATAGTGTTTTATCAAGAATACGACAAAGCACGTAGTACATGGAACTATTTGAAAAAATTGATTATACGCGACATTATATATTATTTTCTCCATTGACAGATAAAGTTGAAGCGGGAATGTGAAGAAGAGATAGCAAAACATTTTCCCGACAAAGGAATGACTGATAACAAGCTTACTCAGTTGCGTAGGTATAGATGGAGAGGAAGGAAAAAGAGATGAAAATGTTGACATAATCTTGGATTACACTCAGAATACGAACAAGTTCTGGTGAAATGGGCGTGTACACCTCAGTAGAACTTTTAACTCAAACCATATTTATAATGATCCTTTTATACATAAATAATGATTGACGACATAATTCGATCGAAACATTAACTGGAATGTTTCATTTTTGGACATAAATAATAGTACCTTCTGAAAACGGACCCTCTTATGATGTAGAAACCTCATCTCGCCATAGTTGAAAGAAAATACCAAACGCCCGACGGAGACTGAGGCAACTGATATATTAATTATTTCAACAGTGATCTCGCGCTAATTCACTCTGTCAGAAATCATTCATCTCTGTCTTGAATAGTCTTGTTTCAGTATAAGGGTTTTGACGTCACATCATCGCCTCGTTTTCAGAGGTCCGAATAATCGGGGATTTCAATAATTTTTTATAAAACGTAGGGAGCTCACAGCAAGAAATGGTTCGCGGTGGTGAGCTAGTTTGGGTGAGTTCTATCGAATTATGAAATATTATTTTTTTTTGTGATACAAGCCCATTCTAAAAAAAATCATCCGATAAAATAACTAGTCAGTATAATGACCCTCATTAAACTGTTCATTGTTTATTCAATATCAATAGTATTTGAATTAATTCTTCTATTTACATGATGACTAGGAAAACGTATTCTGGTGGAGTAAATCGATTGAATGAATGAAATAATATACATATTCTACAGGTCAATACAGCACGGAATAATAGTTTCCAAACATTTAGTGAGCTCATAAAACGATACCATTGAAGTTGTCTTGGAATTTCATGACTGTTTTTATTGACACCTGCCATTACTGTCGCATATCATGAGGTTGATTTGAAAGAAAGTAACAGTGATACGATTGAGGAAATCTATGCTGGGCGTCTTCATCAGTATTAATCTTCCATGAGCGATAGTTGCTTCACAAAAAATCGTCTTCTTAGGTCTATTCATTCCGTGGCGAGCAGTGTATATCACTAACGATAATGAGTGTCTGTTAGGTAGTTCTTGCGTTCCTGATGCATATTCCAGAATGGGCTATAATGGTCTATTTTTCATTTATTTTTTGAAATTTTGTATTTATTAGAATCTCCAATCAATCACCTTTCAAATCCATATATTCTTTTAGATTCTTACGGTCGACTTTAGGGTGCTATAATCATAACAATATTGTCTTGGTTATTTTCAAATGACTAGACATTTACCGCAAATATAAAGTAACGTCACGATTTTCTAGATTTTTTCGGTTAAGTGTAAGTAGGGACAGACCATAGCTCAGTGCTCATATGTCGAAATAGTAATGGAAACTTCAGGAATATTACTATCATCATCAGTAATATTCATAATTAGCTATAATATCCATTGTCCCATAATTGCCTCTCTTATATGTTGTCTCCTCATTTTTTATGATGGATTTGTGTTGATACTAATCATATTAATTCACACTAGAGGGCATTTGGTCCCGTAAACGTAGGAACTAAGGGCGTTGTCTTGTCAGTTCTCACGATTCAGCACAGCATTGCCAAGTCTCAATACCCAATATTCACATGGTGTTTTGTTATGAAGTACAAGAAATATTTTGACAAGCATCAAAAGTGAAGTACATAACATTTCAAGAATCATATTCATGTTTCATTGTGCACATTCCAGGCAGTATTTTACAAATTGAAGAAGAAACATTTTCCAAACTCATTTTTTCGCGATGATTTGTCAAAAAAGAAAGAGTCACACAACTTTGTATGTGTGTTGAATTACTGTATCTCTTCATTCAAATTGCTGTTGTTCTAATGTTAAGACAGCAAATCCTTCTGTCGTTTATTGGAATATGTCGAACCACTCTCTACCGTAACTTGATTGTATTAGGACCGACAGACTTTTGAAATTCTTTGCCTGACAAATAAATAGAAATCCAAACCTACCTCCTCTCTCTATCCTTCTCAGGTTTGCATGAGGTTGTGCGAGAATAAGAGAGATTTTCTTCCGTGCGCTCCAAAAGATAGGGAAATTATATTTTCGAAACTTTATTCGCCAAGAAAATGAAGGAGGATTGCCAATTCCTCTATATTATCTCCGTACTTTCGATATCAATGGACAAATTAAGCAAAGGTTTTCCTGAATTCAAAACTAACCAGGAAGTCTTCTTCTGATTTTACCATCTAATCGACTTACCCACACCAGAAAAAAATTGTTAAGCCAACCTAGTATCTAGGGGTTTCCTTCTGTGTGCTCTGAGCAATAGGAACATTGCATTTCCGAAACTATATTCGTCAGAAAATACAGGAGAATCGCCAATTCCTTTATAATATTTTTGTACTATCAATATCAATGGGCAGATTATGTGAAGGTTTTCCTAGATTCAAAACTTATCAAAAATTGTTCTTCTGATTTTTTCATTCAATTTTCATGTTCTGGTTCCCACGAAAAGGGATATCCTGTAATGTTCAGAGAACACCGTGAGAACCAAGGAAAATAAGGTAGGAATTTGTGTTCTTACATTTCAGGAGGTTATATGACTCGGGGAACACCTCCCTTGGCAATGTGTTCCAGAGCCTCGCTGTTCGTCGGATGAACGAACCTTTGAGAAGAGATGTTCCGCAGGTCTCCAAAGTGACCTCGAAGGGGTGCTAAGCCCCAACTCGAAGGGTAAATATTGCGGGGACTGCCGAGGGAGGAACAATTGTTGATATTTCAGAAGAGCATCGTCCATGGAAATATCTATGAAATAGAGCCAGATCGCCAACTTTTCGACGGTGTTCCAGAGAAGTGAGTGAGTTTGTGAGCGAGGCATCACTCACGAGAAGAATTGCCCTTTTTTGGACAGAATCCAAACTGGTATGTTTGGGTGCTGCACTCCAAATATGGGAACAGTATTCCAGGACAGGTCGGATCTGAGAGATCATAAGCAGCTGACTGGAAGTGAAATAGCTCCTGGCCCGAAACAGAAAAACAAGTTTTTGGGATGCACTTTCAGCAATTGATCTCACGTGATTATATATATTGTGAAAAAAATATAAGAGAATCGCCACTTCCTTTTCAATAGTTTTGTACTTTCTATATGAATGGACAAATTATGTCAAGGTTTCCCTGAATTTATATTCTCATAACATGAAGAATACGAATTCTCAATGTATTTTTGTATATATATACATATATCCATTTTTTTATGTTCATGATGATGTCTGGGAATATTCCTTTTCAATACTTTCTCCCAATCGAGGATTTCAAACTTGAACGATGGAAACTTGTAATTTTTATAGTCCTCAATCGCAGATTCGCGATTAGGTTTCCTCAATTCGAAATTTCTCTCTACGTCCTGTATAATGAATATCAATTTATCATACATCTGAAAATCATCAGACAGTTTTCTTCTGATTTTCCTATCTAATCGACTTACCCACACCAAACAAAAAAAATGGATGGGGACGCTCTTGAATGAGGCCAATGCTTACTATAGACGAGTACCTTTTAGGTACCAGTATTGTGATTACGTCAGGTGAAACAGGTAAGAATGATAACAGCATTTTCATATTTTTGAATTGCAGAGCGCGAATGATAAAAATTTGTAATTTCAGATTTTGTAAAATTCAAGGTCGCTTTTGTTAACAATTAATTAGCTAGGTCGATATATAGCGAAACTAAATTATTATGTGTATATATATCATTTTAATTCGTTTTAATGAAGCCTACGAGTATATAGTCCACGGTTAGACTTTTTGCATTTTTCATGTTATACCTATTGTGAATATCATCACATTTATTATTGATATTATATTCTGCTATTTAGTATGGTCAATTACTTTACAGGAGTCAAATTTCACGAATCTTGTAGGGAACAATAAAACTTAATGAAAGAACAAATTTCATCCTATTCTACTCATTAATATGATAATATAAATAGTTACGATGTCTTATATCGTTCAAGCAGCAGTTTCATTTTGCTAAATTTCAATCAATCGGGTCCAATCAAACTGAAGGATGATGATGATTCAGCTGGGAAATTTGCTGATCAGTACTATTTTTTATTTAAAAAAAAAAACAGAGATTAGTTGAAGATTTAAGCATTCAAAGCGTATTTTTGTTGAGCAAAAGTTGAACATCGTATTATTCACTATTCGTCGTTGAATAACAATGAAATTGGCAATTAGTTGGTCTAATAACAAAGTCGTTTATAACATTACCAATTCAACAATTTTGAAATGAATTATTCAAGGTATATCTATTTCTATAATCACCTATTGATGATACCTGTTTTTTCGAATTTTGATCAATCAGATTCCACTTGAACTCTAAAGTTCGAGGAGGAACATGAAAATGTACTGAATCTCAGCCATTTTTTATTAAACAAGAGCACATCTATCCAAAGATTATTGCCTTTGAAAACTACAGAGTGACCCATTTGAAAGCGGGCCACCCCTGTATCTCACGTAATCGTTGGGTAAGGATCATGAAATTTGCTGAAGCGAGAGATATACCAAAAATGCACTCTATAACCAAGTGGGGTCATCTTCAGTGATATACACTGCTCGCCAGCAGCCATGGAACCACCCCAATTTCCTGAAAATGATATTAGGAGTCAAAATAGGTTGAAAATCACTTCGGATTCGGAATCAGGACGTCCAATTCACTAACTATTCATATTTTTCCTTAAAAATTTTCAGTTCTGGAACATTAAATTTTGTCGCACTTTTCATGGAAGCACCCCCGTATCTCACGTAATTATTGAGGTAGGGTTCTAAAATTTGCAGGAGGAACGGAAAGTCCAAAGATAAAGTCAATTACGTGAGATACGGGGGTGCTTCCGTGAAAAGTGCGACAAAATTTAATTTTTCAGAACTGAAAATTCTCAAGAAAAAATATGAAGAGTTAGTGAATTGGGCGTCCTGATTCCGAATCCGAAGTGATTTCAACCTATTTTGACTCCTAATATCATTTTCCGGAAATTGGGGTGGTTCCATGGCTGATGGCGAGCAGTGTATATCACTGAAGATGACCCCACTTGGTCATAGAGTGCATTTTTGGTATATCTCTCGCTCCAGCAAATTTCATGATCCTTACCCAACGATTACGTGAGATACAGGGGTGTCCCGCTTTCAAATGGGTCACTCTGTATATCTGTTTTCAAAAATTCAGCATATATTTACCTACCATCGTTAGATTATACGAAGATATAGAAGGCATTCCATAAAAAAAACAGTTGGCCTGATAATGGTCAGATCAATTCGGAATTCTGGAAATATCGGGTTGATAAATGTTCCTTCTCTCCTCGAATCATAATTGAATATTTCCGTTTTGTTCTCCATTCTCTGATTCACTTAAAGTACTTAGGATACTTTTATAGGTACATACATCATACTTGTCGGTGAATTAATTTTCTATTGTTTTGATAGTGGTACTAAGTAGTACAGACGTGTACCATTCTGTGTAGCTCAATTCTCCATGGTCGTTGTATTTTTCATAAACACCTGTTTGTGCGTTTTCATTTGCAATTCAATGTCAATGAGCGAAATGTATATAAGGGGATCTTTTTCGTAACTATAGGTCGACATGCCGAAATATAAGGACATCCTGCCGTTGTTGCTACTGTTCTCTCCAGCTCTTGCTGCAGAAAATTACCGCTTACCAACGGATATCAAACCAACCCATTACAAGCTCCATTTAGAAGCTAACCCCGAGGAATCAATATACAGCGGTCAGGTAGAAATAACTCTGGAGGTTAGCAAGAAAAATCAATCTGAGCTGTCCCTTCACGCCCATTCAAGCTTAATCACAATCAGCGACATCAAGTATGACGGAAACATCAGCTGCAGCACGTCTTCAGCCAGTAATGTCACAGACATTATCAGCATCAGCTGTCCAACACCGTTGGCTTCAGGAAAAACCTTGAACATCACTTTCATGGGAACGTTTGCTACTCAAGACATGTCTGGGTTCTACAAGAGTACGTACGATGACAAGCAGGTTCTGGTTGCCACTCAGTTTGAGCCTATTTATGCCAGGAGAGCCTTCCCTTGTTTCGATGAGCCTGGCTTCAAGGCTACCTTCGATATTTCCATTACTCATCCTGTCGCGTATAATGTGTTGGCTAATACTCCTGCTGTTCCAGAGAAAACGACTATTAGTGGGTGAGTCTTATAGGATTCGAATTCAGAAGCTTTCTTTGAGATGATGAATCTATAATTTGAAGAGATTCTATGAGAATTTTGTGAATTATTTGTCAGCTGATGCAACACCGACATTTTCGGCTAGCTATAAGCCTCATCAGTTGTAAAATGTTGTCAAAGTACCCGTATCTACATCGAAATTGCCATCTCAAGAAGACTGAGAAGTATTGAGAAGGAATATTCTCAGATAAATTATGAACATGAAACAATGGATATACCGCGTGACACAGGAGACATGTAACAAAGCCTCTATTTTTTTTATTTGGAAAGATACAAATTTGAAATTCACAAGGGCTATATTATCGATGATAGCGCTTTTCTTGAACCCAATGACAATTTTCTTCAACCACCTGTTTGATCAGAAGTAGAACCTATTTTTTTTTTCGAATAGCACCTTGTATATTCCTGTAGCCTATCTCAATTGCCTTGGAATTCTCAATTCCACTATGTATCATATTTTGATATTCATTTATCAATTGGCTGTTAAATTGCATTTTTCTCCGATGGGCAGCAATATCAATTTTGCTGACACATATCGATCAGCAAAGTATTACTTTTCCTGCCTAGGCAGCAAAGTGGTTACTTTGCTGATTGATATGTATCAGCAAAATCAATAATCCATAAATCGTTCATAATTTCCTTCATATTTCATTCGAGACTTCTCCGGCAACAAATTCAACTCTATATTTTTTGCCACCTCCCTTATTTCTGGAGGTGTAAGTACTTCCAGGTCGCTATCACTGTCCATTATATAATAATTTAAATATACCGATGTTTTTCCGCACAAATGTCCGAATTTTCATGAATTGTCAAACTATAATTATCATGGACAACTGCGATTTCCATCAAATTTCATTTTAATTGAACACTACAGAAACAAAAAGAGATTGTGGGAATTGTAATAATTTGCAATTACAATATCCTCCTCCTCCTATATCATTATGAACAATCGGAGAAAAAATTATATGTTCAACTCGGCAGCAAAGTAGATTGACTGCCTTAGCTGGATTCCTAGCCTCGCTACGCTCGGCTATGAATTCAGCCTCGGCAGTCAATCTACTACTTTGCTGCCTAGTTAAACAAATAACTATTTATTGGAATACATGAAGTTGGCTGTGGTCCGAATGCAATGACATTTCGATGCTTGATAGGCTCAGAAATCCAAAGATCATTACTTTGACGATATTATCAGAATATTGTCCATACCCTAATCGGTCCCAGAAGTTTGCGAATAATTTCATTGAGTTTAAAGAAATCATCCAAAAATAACTCACGACATTGGGGAAACTAAGATAGAAACTCAGTTTTTTTCATTTGGCTATTTGTGAAGAAACTATTTGTCTTTCATATTTGCTATGTAGCCATAATATGATCATCCATTTGGATACATGAACTTGAAAAAATGTATCGTCCTAATACCGTGAGTTATTCTCGGATGATTTCTTTAAACTCAACGAAATTATTGACAATCTTCTGGGACCGATTAGGGCATGGAAATTATTCTGATAATATCGTCTATCTAGCATCGAAATGTCATTGAATTAGGGTCACAGCCAACTTCATGTATTTCAATAAAATGCAATTTAACAGCCAATCAATGAACGAATATCAAATTGTGATGCATAGGTGAATAGAGAATATCCAGGCGAATGAAATAGAGTTATAACTCGGAATTTGAAATCCAATATCCCGAGTTATAACTCGGAATTTTAAAATTCCGAGATATAAGTCGGAATTTTGATGTAAAATTCCGAGTTATAACTCAGAATTTTGAAGAGTTTTTATTTTTTTTATTTGATGTGTACCTTCCAGGCCTTCGTACTTTCTAATACGACATGCGAAAAAAATTTCATTTCATTTCGTTTCGTGAAATACTTTCAGTTTCAGATTTGAATACTAGAATCCTCGGATCTTGTGTTCATAGCTTGATTTTGGAATATTTTACTACGAATACTGATGATTGTGAGTCCTTTAATTAGTTCTTGAATTATTTATAATGGCATAATTATTCCGCAATTGATCATCATTTCTTTCATTATTAGAGAATGCAAGTTCGAAAAAAATATTACATGATTCTTCCATTTGGAACTATTCAAACATAATGAAGTTTTTCTACCAGAATGAGTAATAGAAACATGCTTCTAATGAATTGAGATGTAATTTTCTACATCTAACTAATGAATGAGTTGGGAGTAAAATTCATTGTGTTGTTATTAATTGTATGATGAATGAACACTACTCATTTGTTTTAATTGTCAGAGAATATTTTTTTCAGTTTAGACATATTGAAAAGTAATCTAAGAAATGTATAGCATCAAGGAATTATAATTTATTGCTGTTTTTGAAATTCCTGTTGCGTAGAAGTTTGATGATAGACTGTTCCTATATGTTACAGGAACTGTTATTGTTATTTATTCATTGAAAATAGTCCCTGTCATTCTTTCAGAACAACAAAGAATAATGTTTTTGAGAAATAAGAAAACAACTTCTTTCTTGGCAATTGAATCATATCTGTGAAATATTAGAAATTCCTATTTGGAATTAGTACTTATATAAAATATAATGTATAACAATTATTATCGTTTGAATATTGTATAACAGAGAACAGCTATTTTTCTGGCTGATACCACAGAACATTGAATTATATCTGATATTGATCAAACATTAATTTATTCGAGACGTAGTTATCCACTTATCATCATCTTGAATCAATTGGAATTGAATCGATGATAATATTTTTTGAGTGGAATTATTTCACCCATCAAAAAACAATCATATCTGATTTTTGTCAGATTTCGTTTCGAGTGCATGGAATTTTAGAATCACTTTCAGGATTTTGCTATACAGGGTGTTCTTGAGAACAAAGATAATCTCCAGTATATTGATATACATCAACTCTCTGGAATTACGCACTTCTGCCGATATACAGGGTGTCAGTTTTTCGAGGTCCACCATGGGGATCTCAGTTATTAGAAGAGATACACGTTTGGTTGAATGAGGCCAAAGTTGTGCATTTTCATGCTGAACATTTATTTGCAAGAAAGTCTGATGTCATTTCTAGTTTTCGAGATATTGGAACAAAACAAAAATTTATAATTTTCGATTTTATTTTTTCATGAGAAAACCAAAAGACCTAGACGTTTCTGACTCGGACATTCTTATACAAGGAATCTGAATCTGTCATTGTATTCACCATGACGTTCGCCATATTGAATTTTTGCATTTTTGAAGTCTTTTTTTTCTGATTACTTACAATGAAGTATTACACGATATGATCGAATCTCTCCTGTTGATCAAAAGTGGGCAAAAAAACATTTTTGCGAAGAGTGCCTTGGAAAGAACGCCAACAGTTTTGTAACAAGCTGCATTTCGACAGTTCATTTGAATTCATATCTGTAACGTTCACATTTTCGTCAAGCTCATCTACTTTAAAACAATGGTTTTGAATAAGGAACGACGTTATGAGCTGGAATTTTATTCTTCGGAAAATAAAACAAAGTCATAAAAGATGCTCGAATACTCCTGTTTCCACTTCTAAACACAATGGGCTTATATCACAAAAAAAATTATTTCATAATCCGATAGAACTCACCCAAACTAGCTCACCACCGCAAACCGTTTCTTGCTGTGGGCTATCCCTACGTTTCATGAAAAATTATTGAAATCCCCGATTTTTCGGACCTCGAGATCACAGTTGAAAGAATTGATAAATCAGTAGCCCCAGTCTCCGTCGGGCGTTTGGTATTTTCTTTTAACTATGGCGATATGAGGTTTCTACGTCATAAGAAGGTCCGTTTTCAGAAGGTTCTATCATTTATGTCCAAAAATAAAACATTCCAGTTAATTTTCGATCGAATTATGTCGTCAATCATTATTTATGTATAGAAGGATCATTATAAACATGGTTTGATGTAAAAGTTCAACTAAGGTGTACACGCTCATTCCTCAGATTCTGAATTGCTCGCGAGATGTCCAGTCTCATTATCTTAGTCCTGAAAGTGGTGGATGAGAAATTATCTTATTCAAGGATGAATATTTGTTTAAAAACAAATTGTTCGAGTCCACTTCGGATACACCAACTCTCTAATTCCAATATTTCTCAGTTCCGAAAAAACAACCGTATTCAGAACGACACCAAAAATGTCTACCTACCTAGTCGCCTTCATAGTATCCCACTTCGAGCCAGCTCTGAAATCTCCAGGAAAATACAACGTATATGCCAGACCGAGTGCGAGTCATACGATGGGACTGTCTACCAAGTACGGAGAATATCTAGTAGATTCAATGGGAAAGTGGATGGGAATCAGCTATACCGACCTAGGCGATCCCCAGGTCGCCCAAGTCGCCATTCCAGATTTTGCAGCTGGTGCCATGGAAAACTGGGGCCTCATCACTTTCAGGTAAGTCCTAGCTCATTCCCCAATCAACTGATGAACCAAATAACCCAATAGTCAATATTTATAAAAATGAAGCATTTACTTTCAAGTAGAAGGTAGAAGCAAGAGGTAAAAGTAAAAGGTTTTGCTTTTTGGTATTCATAATCTGTAAATCTTCCTTGCAAGGAAATGCTTCCTGATAAATAAAGTAGAAGGTATGGCCCTTACCGGATCTGGTCGTTACCACCGATAAAACAAGGCCTGCATGCTCCGTGGGTGACGTCACTTAGTCAGGCCTAACCAGCGGCTCGAAACGACAAGCGCTTATAGCGCTATAAGGCGACCGCGTATTTCGATTTTAGTTTCAGATCATTATTGAGCCGATTTTGCTTTTTTTTCGAAGGGCTTCCGGTTGAAAGAGGATGCCAGCCGTCAACTGAGCCCTTCACCGCATCCCATTCGATTTTATTATGAAAAAACGAAGTTTCAAAGCAAAAACCAGAATAAAACACAAATACCCACCAACAGCAACCCATTCGAATTAAATATATTGGCAAAAATTGTAGTGATTCAATCTCATTAAAGGTGAACTTCACACCTACTTATACAGGGCCCGCAGAACATAAACTTATCATAAGATTGATCGACAGATAATTGGGGAAAATGTATTTTAGTTCGATAGACATGCCGTTTGTTATACCTAATTACCTATATTTATCTTGGAGAATTCCTATTACCTAAAAAATTAGCCAGTGAGTGTTTTCAATTTCCTGTTGTTGGATTTTTTACCCAATTGGTCGTTAGACTTGAAACAGTAATTTTTTAGTAGAGTGTTTGTAGTACATGTTGCCATGAGGCAAATGACCGTTTTCAGAAAGAAATTTGAGAATGTATTGAGTCAGAAACCAAAGAGTCCAATGCATTCGAAATATGTTTCAAAACCCTCTTTTTCTGATTATCAAGACATTTTCTCGAATTATGTATCTCGTTTTTATCTATTTCAATTAGTAATTCCTTGATTTGATTGATATTATTAGAGATAAAAGGTGTTTTCATATTGACTTTTAGAGATGTTTGTATCGCTAGGTCATACAAAAATCATTCCACATTCAAAACAAAATCAATCACAACCGAATATGTAATTACGGGCCCTGGAGAATAAGACAATTTGAATAATGTGACTTTTTGCAAATCGATAATTTTGAACCACTTTTCGGGCAACTGAAAAGACTCTAATACAACTAGAAATTCTTGAAATTCTGTGTAGCAAAATGATTTTTGGTAATTTTCGAATTCAGTTTTACTTTTGGTAAGTGCTTGTGCCAAATTTTAAGTCTCTAGTATCTCAAGTTTTTCATCACGACTTGTGCGTAATTTTACATCTTTCGATAAATGAGATGGACAGTTGGGAAATCGAGTTGGAATAACATCTCGTTTGAGCCTAGGAATTTTCAAATCTATTGTTACAGTTTTGCCAGTTTTTGAATCGGTTGCAGTAGATGAAGTAATAATATCATCTTTAGTAAAATGTAATTCACATACTTTACTGTACTTAGATGGAGTCGTAAAATCCTTGCGGTGAATTGCATGTACCCACTTTTTCGATAGTTCCTTGTCCAACGGGAAACTAAAAGCATGAACTGTTGGACCACCCACATAATTCCCCCGACAAAAGGGAACACAACACTTGTAAGGTATTGTTATTTCGCCTATCACAACACGAAATATTTCACAAAACAGTAATTTCTCCGCCAATTATTTTGATGAAAAAACAACAAGAGAATTCGAGCACACGCGATTTACCTACGCCACCGTTCATAAACAAAAACAAACTGACGATCGATCGACGCGAATGTCTTGGAAGATGGCCTGAGTATGCGACGTCACGAGCTGTTTACGTCAGAGTCTTGTTTTATCGGTGGTAACGATCTGGTGGGATTGGCAAGGAGTCAGAAAATCAATAAACACAATAGAAGAAGAAGAAAATGTACAGCGATTATGACAGGTAGAGACTTGTAGTGTGGAATCAACGCTTACATGTGTTCTGCGACAGCGCAGTTTATTCGTTTGTTGTAACAGTCATCTTCAGAAAACATGTCGCACATGGACGATGATAGCATTCCTAATAACTCCTGCAATAAGAGCGCTGACACCGTCCAACCGCGACATGATCTCTGAAGACGACTGTACAATCCGCTCAAGCACCTCGTGAAATATTCTGGACACTGTGGGCTGTGTACATCCCGATACTTCAGCAATTCCGCTCTGGAATCCAGTTTTCGCGCAATAACGCAGGAATACTTTCATTTTTTCTGTGACGGGAAAAAAGTTTGGCATTTCTTCTCTGTTGGCAGGTTATAAAATGTCACTTTTCATAAATTACTTTTTTCCCGTGGGAAAAAAGTGAGTTCTTCTTTCCCGGATATATATCACATATATATACTCTGTTTTAATGGCTTTTGTTGTGCTATAGTTCCGAAAAATAAGTCAATAATACCGTCTCCGAGAAAGAACTGCAAGTCCTTTTATCTTCCATTCGACTTCCCGGTTTCGTATATTACTAAACAACTACTGAATTCGCAATTTTTTGAAATCAAATCACAGAATTGAACTGACAGAAGTGACATCAGATATTTGATTACTTCAAAAGAATGATAAAGATGTCTATAAAACGCAGGTGTCCCTTCTGTTGAAAACTTGAAATTTCACGTCGATAATTTTCAGATTTCGAAATAATGTAATATCTTCCCAATTCGTCCTTCCTTCTGTCACAGAAAAAAATAGTGTATTATACACGGGAAAAATATTAGATTTTAGCTCACGGTTTTTTGTCTCCCTCCGCTACGCGTCGGGAGACAACACAACCTGGAGCTAAAATCTACTACTTTTTTCCCTTGTATAATAAATAACTATTTCATCACATAATCCTTCCTAAATCTAAATGAAGTTTTGAAATCTGATTCACGTGTCGGGCGGCTTGGTTTGTAGTATTTTCTTGTACGTAAATTCACCATATTAGCCATAACAAACAGAGCACTGAGACTACACAACCAAAGATCACTCACTCAAGCCCGTTCACACCCCTCAAAATATGCTAAAGTGACATAACAATAAGCTGTGTGATGGCTGGGCAGCTACTGAATAGAGTATGAAAAGTTGTTGTGAACCTAGATTCCTTTTTTCAGAAGCACATCCTTCTGTTTTTGAGCAAATGCTTCTTTTTATAAATAAGAAAAGAGTTAAACCTTTTACTTTGAAGCAAACCCCTCGAAGCATAACCTTCTCCTTCAATTATTTTTATGCATATATACCTTGAAGGAATTGCTTCATTTTTTGAAAGTAAAAGGTGAGGCTTCTTTTTATGAATGTGGACTAGTATCTGAATCACAGTCAACACTATTTCCAATTCAGCGTTGCCAGCACAGCAACACAAAATGTACTAAAAAATCACCGAAAAAATACTGGTACTAGTTTTTCGAGAAAGGTACTAGAAGTGAGGATTCTCATTTCTCATTCAAACTTCCTACTATGAGTAAGGATATTCACTGAACGCTATGAAACTGAATATTGTGAATATCTGTATATACATTAGACCACTCTGTATATTCATTTTCATAGAGATTAGTCCAGATAGTTGTGGATCCGGTGATAGGCATCTTAGTAGGAACTGATAGGAGACAAAATGGGGTTGTGGAGAGAATGGTCAAAAAGAGATTGTCAAGAGAAATGTCAGAAAAAGATGACCAAATAAAAGAACAGGAACTGCGGTATTGAAAAGCTGAATTCATATGACATTATAACCAAGGGAGTCCTGAAAGCAGAGTCCAAGCAGTAACTCCAGCTGAGATTGTGATAACGGTTATTCGGTATTGAACGTTTGGAGCAAGATCTGATCGGCATCAACACCAATCAAAGTACCATCAGGTGTACCACAGGGATCTCACATGGGACCTATGTTATTTGATCTTTTTGTTAATGACCTCTCTGATGTCATCATCAACAGTTCCTTCTTGATGTTTGTCGATGACCTGAAGATGTTTAGAACGGTTCAATGCATTTCTGATGCTGAGAGTTTGCAGCTCGATCTAAATAATTTTTCCAGATGGTGCCATATCAATTTATTGAAACTGAATTTGAATAAATGTCAAAAGATAACATTTTCACGAAGCCATGATGCTATTGATCATATGATACTAATCTATCAGTAACCAATACAATCAAAGACTTAGGAGTAATATTCGACTCGAAAATGACCTTGAAACATCACATAATAGAAACATCATCTCGTGCTCGTAAAATGCTAGGCTCCTCCCTCCGTTCTGCTGAAGAACTATCTGTCAATGCAGTTAAAATTATTCATTGTGCACAGGTGAGGTCTATTCTTGAATATAATTCTTTGATCTGGTCACCATTTTACAAAGTTGATTCTGATCTTCTAGAGGGTTGTCAAAATAAATTTTTAAGAAGTTCTGCATATCACATGGGATTCAATAGGGATGAATATACCTATCCACAAATATTAGATATTTTGAACATGAATACGTTGATACATAGAAGAATGGAAATTGATCTATTATTCCTCCATAAAATTATCAATGGTTACATTGATTCTCCTGAAATTGTTGCCCTGATTATGCTTTCCGCAAATACAAGAAGAAACAGAAATAGTGACATTTTCAAGATACCATTCTGTAGGACAAATTATGGCCAAAATGAATCAATGAATAGAATTATGAAAACAGCAAACACAAACAATCACCAAATTGAACTTTTCAATTCATCTTCTCTCATTCTCTCAGGAGAGCGATTAAAAACTGTTAATCACTTTTTTCATAATCTTCATCTTTCTATTCGTTTAAGCCTTCTACTTTTTTTTGTGTTAGTCTTCTTCATATATATGATAATGTGTACGTGCTCTGTATTTTTATACTTCCTTTGTAAATTGTATAATTGGCTTGTTCGTTAATAAATAAATAAATAAATAAATAAATAAATAAATAAATAAATAAATAAATAAATAAATAAATAAATAAATAAATAAATAAATAAATAAATAAATAAATAAATAAATAAATAAATAAATAAATAAATAAATAAATAAATAAATAAATAAATAAATAAATAAATAAATAAATAAATAAATAAATAAATAAATAAATAAATAAATAAATAATCTTTTGTCGTTCGTCATGTGTAGGAGGTGAATTAGGGTTAGTGATGAAGAGTATAGGTACTTTATGATAATTAATATAGTTTAGTTACTGAAGTAGTGTATTTTATTCACTTATCTACCGAACCTGAATAAACCCTAGTCGGGATACTACAATGATAAATAATACTTCACAAACATCTTTTACACAATGTTGTGCATACAATCGCCTTTTCTCCCTGTGGTACAAAAGCTGATAACAGTGATGTTTTCAACCTTGTTTCTTTACAGAGAAGTGGACCTTCTGGACGAAGGCGACAAAACATCTAATTCAGCAAGACAGAGGGTGATGACGACAATGGCTCATGAAATTGCTCACCAGTGGTTTGGTGATTACGTCACTCTAGACTGGTGGTCTGACACTTGGTTGAACGAAGGTTTCGCTACGTATTTCCAGTATTATCTAGCCAACTCAGTAAGTGCATTATGAATTAACATCATGGACAAGATTGAATATAATACTGAAATTGAACAACTTATATATGATGGTAATTACACGAAATTGAATGAAGATCCTATAGCAAATATCGACAGATGGATACGTAACACTATTAAGAAACACGAAAATCAATTGACTCTCGCGGAAAGAAAGAATATCTCCACATATCACAACAAACCTCACTTTCAAAAATACATAAACCAAATGTTCCATTGGGACCAATCGTGAGTTCAAGTGGATCTCCATGTCAAAATGTAGCAAGGTTTGTTTTGAATATCACCAATCCTAGTTCAGGAAAAAGTGAGAGTTACATTAGAAATACTCCTCATTTCTAAGAAAGGCTTAATGAAATCACTCTTGATACAAATGATACTCTTGTCAGTTTTGATGTGGTAAGTTTATTCACAAATGTTTCAATAGATAAAACTTTACAAATAGTGAAACATAAATTCGAAGACAATGAAAGTGTCACTGAGAGAACTAATCTAAGTATCGAAGGAATAATGGAATTTTTGGAATTGTGTCTAAGAACAACATATTTTCAATTGGATGATGAGTTTTATCAACAAAACTTTGGAGTGGCCATGGGATCGCCATTATCTTCAATTTTGAGCAATATATTATTCATGGACAATTCCGAAGAAAACATCATCAAAAATTACCAAATACCACCTGAAACATGGTTGCGATACGTAGATGATATTTTCATAATCTGGCCACATAACCTTATGGGGCTAGATAATTTTCTGGATTATGTGAACAATGCCGAACCTACCATGAAGTTCACTTTGGAAATTAAATCCCATTTCCCATTTCTCATCATCCCATCATCATCCCATAACCATTTCTAGATGTTCTAATTGGGAAATCAAATAACATCTCTGTAACAAGTGTATATCGTAAAAAGATCCATACTAACAGATACCTGAACTTTCAATCAAAGGTATCAAAGGTTTTAAGAGAGGAATAATCGAATCACTCCATGATAGGGCCAAATCAATATCATCTGACCAACAAATTTTCAATATCGAAGTCCACCACATTGAAAAAAAAATTCTCCAACTCAACTCCTATCCAAAGAATTTTGTCGATAGGACGATTCATCTGATTGAAAACAAACAGGGTCAACCACAACAAAATCAACCATCAATAACGACAAATATAATACCATACATCCCCGATATAGCGTTGAATAAGAGCTTGTGTCCTGTTTGTAACCTGTTTGGTATAGTGTGAATGAATATGTCGGCGTCAAACAGTGAAATCCGTCATTTTCTGGAATGCCTAGTCATTTCACGTATTGCCGGCAAACAGAGTAACTCTGAATTTCGAACACCGTTTGCCTAATAGTTGGAGGCATTCCCTGTAATGACGAAATGAAGGTTCATTTAGGCCGAGTCAGCTTAGGTTGTTTAGAAGCAGTACTCTCTTCTGTTCTCTCTAGTAATTTTCTGAGAAATATACTCTAGAAAGAAGGTTCATTCAGGCGGAAAAATAGTCTCCCTTTTTATGCATATGCAGAAAGGATATTTTCCTTCCCCAACCCTCCGGCAAACAGAGTAACGGCTGAAAATGGAAGTTAGACTGTTACGCTTTCTCATTATGTTCTGGTTTCCATGAAAAGGGATATCCTGTGATGTTCAGAGGACATCGTGAGACCCAAGGAAAATAAGGTAGGATTTGGTGTTCTTCTTGAATTTCTGGAGGTTATATGCCACGGGGAACACCTTCCTTGGCAATGTGTTCCAGAGACTCGCTGTTCGTTGAATGAACGAGTCTTTGGAAAGAGATGTTCTGCAGGTCTCCAACCACGAAGGGGTGCGACGCCTCATCTCGACGGGTAAATCTCGCGGGGACTGCCAAGGGAGAAACAATTGTTGATATTTCAGAAGAGCATCGTCCATGAAAATATCTATGAAATAGCCAGATCGTCAACTTGTCTACGGTGTTCCAGAGAAGTGAGAGAGTTCGTGAGCGGGGCATCACACACGAGACGATTTGCCCTTTTTTGGACAGAATCCAACAGTTTCAGGGTATGTTTGGGAGCTGCACTCCTATAAAGGGAACATTATTCCAGGACAGGTCGGATCTATGCCTTATAGATCATAAGCAGCTGACTGGAAGTGAAATAGCTCCTGGCCCAAAACAGAAAACCAAGTTTTCGGGATGCACTTTTAGCAATTGATCTCACGTGATTTTACCAAGAAAGGTTATTGCTGATAGTAATATCAAGCATCGAAATGGATGTCTTCAAAGGTATGGTTACTCCTGACAAGTTTATGTTGGGCACAGTGAGATCGGATTTTCTGGATAAAAAGCATGCTTGTGTTTTGTTTGCATTGAAATCTACCAAGTTATTGTATCCCCATTCGAGAATTGTTGCCAAGTCCATATTTATGTTGTCAACATTTCTCCCTCGTTCGTTTCTGATTTGCCTGGCTGGTATTGGAGCCCTGGAAGAGAAGGCGGTATGGAGGGTACTATTATCCGCGAAGCTGTGTACTGGACATGAAGTTGATTCCAACAAATCGTTGATATGGAGTAGTAATAGTGTTGGTGCTAGAATTGATCCTTACGGAACACCAGCCTTTATGATAAGAAAAATGAAATGACTAAGCATTTCAGGGAATGGCGGATTTCACTAATTGACGTCGACATATACTTGATGAAAACTTTTATTCAGGTAGATAATGGTACCATGGAGCTAGATAAACAATTCGTTCTTGAAACGTTTCAACCGATTTTGGAAGAAGACTGTCTCCCTTCATCTCTGCCACTTTCTAGCCCAGAAAAAGAGATCAATTCGTTGGTTGAAATTAATAACAAATTTGATGGGATTTCTTATTCGAAAGGTACAATGCCACTATCTCAACTTCACTTCAATTTGCTAGATGATCGTTATCAATGAATGTTTTTCCAGGTGGAAGCATTGTTAGAATGATGCAATTCATACTGGGAGACACTATTTTCCAGAAAGGATTGAATTCTTATTTATCAGCAAAGTAGGTATGATAGGTGTATGTTTAATTCTTCGTTTTGGTGTTACTGAGTAGAATACTGGAAATAGCACGTGTTCATTTTTTGAAGTGGAACAAGCTGGATAAGTGTTTTGATATCGATTTGATTATATACATCGATGAAAGTGTATCGATAAAATATCACATGATTGACAACAATGATGGCACCAATCAGCTTATTATCACATTCACAAGTACCTAGACGCTCCTTGAGCCACTGATACAGGGTGATTCTTAACTAGGGCGATACAGATTTCAACTCATGTCCTTGAACTGATTAGGTCAAATTTGATTACTAGCTCGAAATGAAAGTAGTGAAATAGTAAGTACCAATATCAACTGGAATCAATTTTTGTATGTTCATGAGTGGTTTAAAATGTTTTAAGGAAACCGAAGCTAAATATGAAGAAAACACAAGAAACTGAAAAAATTCGTTCAATTGACCAATCTAAAAAAATTAAGAATAGGGCTAATTAATCACCTTTCGAACTCAAATATCTTCACCAAACTTCAACCATCTCCGAACGAGAAGCCTTCTGACTTTACGTAGCGTAGTTAGGAAACACCCTGTATATAACCAAAATTATGCATAACTCACTGTTCTCATTATTTAAATCCATCATCAGAAATAGTTATTTTTGTATTTAGAGCGCGAAATGCTAATTTGGTGATCGATATCTGATTTTTTTAAAGAGGCGTAGCCGAGTTAAAAAAATAGTCGAGATATCCAAAGTATTTCGCGCTCGAGTTGCAAATTTTTTCTACAAACGTCAAAAAATATAGTTCTAAATTAAGAATATGCTCAGCTTGATTTCCTTTTGTGCGCTCCAAGAGATGAAATGAAGTTATTGTTGAACATTCAAAAATGAATGATTTCGTGGATGTTTGCTCGATTGACGACCATAAAGTTGAAATATGAATATCTCATATATTTTATACATATATAACAATGCGCGAAGTAGGTACTTCGCGCACTGTTTTAGTTCGCGCATTGTTTTGTGCAAGGTATCATGGTAACGTAGGAAACTGAAAAAAAAGTATCACTTCGTAATGTGTTATCAATGCGCGAACCTTCTGATTTTTTGACGTTTGTAGACAATAAATATTAATGTTTGATTATTTCCAAAGCTTTCTTTCTGTTTGGATGAAGTAACATATATTATAGTGATTCATTAAGAATGGCAATCTTTGAACGAAAGATGGTTAACACGAAAATATGAAGATTTAGAAAACTAATATTCTCAGATAAATCATGAACATAGAAAAATGAAGAAATTGATATACAAATAAAAGAAATACACTGAGAATTCTCATTCTCTATGTGATAAACATATCAATTCTTTATCGGTTTATTCAACAGAGAACAACTACTTTCCTGGCAATATGCCACGACGAACATTGAATTATATCTATTGAAAACACACGATACGATAAGAATTTGAAAACTAATTCTTCTAAAGTTGAGAATTTGCATTCTCTTTCAGATAAAAATATGTATTTGCACACATCATTCTGAATATGTAACAGAAAACAACTACTTTCCTGGCTATTTTATACAGGGTGTTTGGTGCATCGTGTGCCAAATTGGAATGGTCGAATGAAGGGGTCATCTGCTATCCTTTAAGACTAGTCAACACCTTTCATGTTCTGTGGATTATTTTTAATCGTCTTTTTATTTGTTTATCAAAAAAAGACCCAAATTCCACATTCAAATACAAAATTTTGACAAAGTATGAGGCGTAGACTCTGAATTTTAATTTTATTCAGATGTGTGTCGTGTTAGAGTACTTTTAAATACGAAACTAGTGACATAAGTCATCTAGTTTTTTTTTTAATCTACTCGCAAAATTTCGAAATATGTGGAACTCAAATTAAAGCTGTGACTTTACATGGCTACAAAAAAAAACCAAAAGCGACCAGGATCTTCCAACTTCCTCAAAAGTTCTATAGTCTATCCTCTTGCTAACGATGTGTCACATGCCATGAATATCTTTCAACAACTTTGTAAATTTGCTAGAAATGTCAATCAAGTCTCATAAGGCTGATATTAAAAATGATCTGAAAAATTATTTTTGCGTAACTGTTACTCCAGAAACAAGTAAAATTTATATTTCTTGCACAACGTAAATCTGTTTGAACAAATCACGAACTGCCACCGACCCCATAATTTTTTAGTCGAGACATCACTGCCTCTGCTATCTAACGTGTTCATTTCATCATATCAATCAATCAATCAATCAAATCTTTATTCCATTAGACAATAATACATTATGTCGGAAACGTCAAAATTTTTGAAAAATACATAAAACACACAATACATAGATATACAGAAACGAAATACAGTACAAAATAAAATAAAATATCACTGTACCGGACAATCCAAGAAATCTTGCACAGTATAAAAAGAATGTTGCACCAAAAATGTTTTGAGGCGCGTTTTGAAAACTTCAAGTGTTAAACTTGATTTAATATTCTCAGATAAATGATTGAAAATACGTGGTCCTATGAAATTAGGTGCATTTTGGGCTACTTTGTATTTTCCAATTTGTGCGTATAAATTAGGCCTTTCTGGCGAGTATTCATGTTATGAATGTCTTTATTAAGTTTGAAATAGGTTATGTTGCAATAAATATAACATGCAATCTCTAATATGTATAAAATAGCGAGAGTCAAAATATTACTGGATTGAAAAATTTGTCTGCAAGTTTCTCTACGAGGAATGTTAAAAATGCACCTCATAATTGCCTTTTGAGCAATGAAAACATCTTTTGACTTGGTAGAGATGCCCCACAAGCAGATGCCATAACGAAGGCGCGATTCAATTTGTGCATAATAGATATTTACGAGCTGGCCAACATCTAGTACTGTTTTTAAGTTCTTGAACATTTAATAGGATGAGTGTAATTTTGAGATTAGCCCCTCACAGTGTGACACCCAGTTGACGTGTTTATCGATACTCCGGGATTCTTTCAGTTTTGGACCCTTGGTGTTATTGTTGGGCTTAGTTGACGTTTTTGTTGTTGCAATGGCGACATTCTCTGAGGAAGAATATGCGGATGGCCTTATTGTATGGCCGTCACGTTCCCCAGACCTAAATATGTTAGACTTTTATGTCTAGGGACGTGCCAAAGAGCTAGTATACGCCAACTATGGAGGTTCTAGTCCTCCTAGTAGGAGGAAAAATACAACTGTCGGAATACGAAAGATGTCGAGCCTGCATTTGCAACAGAGGCAAACAATTTGAGCAGGATTCGTGAGAATCATCAAATGAATGCGAAATAAATGTTGAAATAGCAATTTCATTTTTTGTTCATTTCAAATATAATCCATGAAAAAATAGAGATACGAGACAGATTTCACCTCATAAGAGTGAGATGACAAATTTAATAGGTTCAGGTATCATTCAAACAAAAATAGTTTTTCAAATTATAATTCTGAATATTTGGCTTATGTGACTCGATTCACAATTCTAGCGAATTCACAAAGTTGTTAGAAGATATTTATAACATGTGACACATCATTAGCAAGAGGATAGACTAGAGAACTTTTGAGGGAGTTGGAAGATCCTGGTCGCTTTTGGTTTTTTTTGTAGCCATGTAAAGTCACAGCTTCAATTTGAGTCATATTTCGAAACTCTGCGAGTAAATTAAAAAAAAACTAGATGACTTATTTCACTAGTTTTGTATTTAAAAGTACTATGACACGATGCACATCTGGATGAAATAAAAATTCAGAGTCTACGCCTTATACTTGTTTTAAATTTGTATTTGAATGTGGAATTTAGGTCTTTTTTTGATGAACAAATAAGAAGATGATTAAAAATAATCCACAGGACATGGAAGGTGTTAACTAGTCTTAAATGATAGCAGATGACCCCTTCATTCGACCATTTCAATTTGGCACACGATGCACCAAACACCCTGTATATTGATATTGGTTGTAGATGTCTCCAGTCCATGGGATACATGAATTTCACTATCGTTTGTGAATTGAAAGTTTTTATCTGACGTAGAAGATAAAAACTCTTCGATTCGCTGAGGTATCAAAGTTTTCGATTTCCTAGGTCCTAGTCCTAGGTGATTGCATAATTTTTGCATAAATGAATGTTCTAACAGGGTCGCTGATATGTATGGAAACAGGTGAACATCTCGGTAACCTGTTGCTGAATTTTTTTGAATTCATGTACTGTGTGATTTCGAGACGTGGCGGATTTGGAAAAGTTATATCCAATGTTGCCACCTTTCCAGGGAACACCCTGTACTTTATTGGATTTTTAGATTCCCCGTGAAGTGCTGATTTCATCGATCTATCATACTTGGAGTCTAGCGGGAATGATTTACATAGGTATAGGGGGTGTTTAAATTCTAGATTTTTCAAATTTAAGATTCGAAACTATTCATTATCGATCAAAACCGCTCCAATATTCCTATCTTTACTCTTGATTTACAATCTACTGACATTTAATTGAAATAAATACAGGGTGGATCAAGATTCAGAATTCTGATCACTCTCTGTATCTGTATCAACCCTCAGCAAATCCCAACTAGCAAAGACAATAAGTCACATTTGTGACAATATTTTGGTGTTTACTATCTGTAGCACACAGATTACTCATTCTTAATGAATCTCTCTGTGAATGTGCGATGTCGTGTATCATACTTATTTTTTAGTAAATACAGCAACACCAGTCCATCGATCCTTCTGAAATACCTCCAGAATGCTGCTGGTAAAAATGTACCTGACTTCCAAAACAAGATGAAAAACTGGATTCATACTGCTGGTTTTCCACTACTCACCGTGACGCAAAGTGACGACAAAACAGTCAATGTCACACAGGTAGCTATACAGGGTGACATTGAAATAAATACAAATACACTCAGTTCCAAAAAACATGACGCACTTGATATTCGACCTATCTTCTTGAAAAAAAATATAGTTGGCCGATTTTTTTTCATACGTTGGTAGGTAATGCATTTGTCTTTGAAAAAAATGAGGAGGTGAAAATGTTGTCAAAGCCTCCTTGATGGTGGTGGAATATAACTCGAACCCTGATTTATTCTTAATTTTTGACTCACCCTGTGTGTTAGTTGAGTAATGGCATAGAAAGTGCTTACACCCTATACGAAAGAGGCTTCTTTTGCGAGCACTTTTTTTTATTCATTGATTTATCTCTAAAATTTTCCGAATTACAGCTTTTTTTGCTGAATCCTTGCAGATTACCAACTTTCTGAATTTATCGAGAAACAATTCTCTAATGAAATAAACTGATATCAATAATTTTGAAAACATTCTTATTTAAGACAAAATTATAAATTGGGATGACTGCTTAATACCGTGTATTGCCTGCTCTAGCTACTCTATAAGAACTTCTATACTACGAGGCATACGCTTATCGTTTCCATTAGTATACGATCCCATTCTTCCACTAATGCATCTGCCATTTCTGCGAGACTTTCTGGAGAACTCTCGCGAGAACGTACCCTTCTCCTTAATTCATCCCACAAATGTTCTATAGGATTTTTATCGGGGCTTCTCGCAGGCCATTGTAATGTGGTAATACCAGTAGCTTCTAAGAAGTTTCGCACTATTGCTGCGAGATGTGGTCGGGCATTATCCTGCATTAATATAAAATCATTGCCCACTAACTCTGCATCAGGTAAGACATACTGCTCTAAAATGTCAATGTAAATTTGGCCATTCATCGACTGCCTCACCAGAAAAACATTAAGGGGTGTCTTTCCATTCATTGAAATCCCTCCCCACACCATAACGGACCCATTATTAAAACTTTCGCATTTTGTTATTAAATTTTGATTAAACCGTTCACCAATTCTCCTCCACACTCTTTTTCTTCCATCCACCATGTTTAGGCAAAACCTTGACTCATCCGTAAACAAGACATTCGACCATTCAGGAATATTCCACTGTCCATAATTTTCAACAAAATCTCTTCTAGCAGCACGATGTTCAGGCAATAATTTGAGACCTTCTGCAGGTCTCCTAGCTTTCAAATTGACTTCTTTTAGACGTCTACATACCATCTGCTTACTTATTGCAACATCACGAATTTAGCGAAGATCTTGCTGAACATTTACCGCAGTATTTGATCGATTCCGTGAAACCCGCAATCTCAAGAAACGATCATCTCTTGAAGAAGTTTTTCGGAGGCGACCAGAACCGACCCTCCGAGCGGTGCTTCCTGTTTGTTCGTACTTACGGATTGCTCTACGAGCAGTTGCTTCATGAACTCCCACTGCACGAGCGGCGTAACGTTTACTACGCCCATCGTTTACTAACGCAACTAATCTTGTTACTTGTTCAGGATTTATTTGAGGCATTTTCTGTAATTTTAGTCAATAAAACAAGATACTTAATTAATGACACAACGAAAAATGGTCAAATATGGAGGCATACAACAAATTAGTTGCTATGGCAACGGCATTTGTTTTCTTAAAGACAATGTGATCGTACCAGAGTACAACCCAATTTTGAGTACTCTGATCCTTCAATAAATTTAATTTGTGGGATAAGCGCAAGGTATCAGCAGAAAATCTGTAATTCGGAAGATTTTAGAGATAAATCAATGAATAGAAAAACAGAATGCTCGCAAAAGAAGCCCCTTTCGTATAGGGTGTGAGCACTTTCCATGCCATTACTCAATTAACACACAGGGTGAATAAAAAATTAAGAATAAATCATGGTTCGAGTTATTCCACCAAGGAGGCTTTGAAAAAAAAATTTCACCTCTCCATTTTTTTTAAAGATAAATGCATTATGGTTATGATTTTGGAAGATTTAGAGGATACAGCACTGACCGTTTTTTGTGCACTTCTCTGTGTGTTAGGGCCTATTTCATCATTGTCTTAGTCTCAGTCTCAGTCACAGTCTTTGTTTTAATCATAAAATCAAGTTAGGAGCATACATTTCAATAGGTGAATTTATGAAACATTTTTAGTCTCAGTCTCAATCATAATCATTAAATCATGACCTTGGAAGTTACAAACTTTCAATTTTTATGCTTATGATTGAGACCACATAAGAAATGCTCAAAAACCTGCTCCAAAACATAATATTAGAATTGGCAGATTACATCATAGACACCTCAGTTGACACTTTTGACGGATTATCAATTGTCAGGGCTGAAAGACTTCGGTCAATGGCCTTTTGGGGTATATCCCTAATAAAGATGTTCTCTCTCTCTCAATTGTCATATCATAATAGGCGATTTCACTATGATTGAAAATAGCCCTTTTTATATGCCGAACGGTCTCATACATGACTCAGTATATCAAATAGCACTTCCTCTCATCTATTGATTCCTTTACAACCGTTTAATTAATACTTCAAATGTGCTACAAACTGAGAGACTTCCAAACGACCATTTGTCGCGGTGTGACGTCACTTGTATTTTCTTGAGGCTCCCTCTGACGGTCTGACGACCCAAAGAAGATACGTTGCACAAAACCACAGGCACAGAACTCGAGCATAGAGTGGTTGGGTTATCTGTGACTCGAGAGAAACATGGCTATAAAACAAACTATAGAAGAAGAAAAAGATCAACCTCGAAATCAAGTTCATAGTTCATTATTTCATTTCATTTTCAGTGATCTATAAGTGTCATATTAGTGATATTCTTTCAATCTGAATCAACTGAAATATTTCACTTGAACTGAACTGAATATGCGTTCTTTCAAATGACGTTCATTGCATGTCAACTGATTCAGTTCAGTTCGAGTGAAATTTGTCTGTACGTTCAGAACGAAAGAATATAACTATTATTGATATATTATTGAGTGACAAATACAATGACAAATGGTGACAAGACCAAGTGACAAGACGAATTACCCAGTGTATGACGACGCGGTGTGACGCACCTTGTATTCGTCCAATGAAATGCCATCAATATTTCGCGCGCATTCGAGCTATCGTTTGAATTCAGGTTCAATTTAATAATTTTTTTCTGGGTCAACCGCAATCGTAAGGAAATTGAAAAAATGCTGAATTCACCCAGTATGTGTTCTAAATCGTGAAAAAAAAATCAAAAAATCATGGTGAGATTCCCTATTCTTGAACCTTAAGACGGTGATGCATTAAGATCCAAATATGATTCATATACACCTTGTTTGAGACTATGATTGAGACAATGACTAAGACAATGATGCATGAATAGGCCCTTATTCTTCACGACTCAACTTCATCGTCATATTATCAATTGTTCTACAGACAATTTTCAATAGAAATGACACCACTCAATGGTTTGTCCCCATAAGCTACACCAATAGCAGCGAGAAAGATTTCAGCGTGAAAATCAAGGGTTGGCTGGAACCAAACAAACCCTTCCAAATACCCCACAAAAGCTCCGAATGGTTGATAATCAATCTCCAAGCAAGCGGTAAGTACTTGAGACACAGTTTCTACAGTTTTATCAACAGAAATTAACCGAACTAGATCTCATAACTTAGAGATCTAGGATGAACAAAATTGACCAAATTGTCAGCAGGAGCGAGACAGTACTGTTTCGGCCCACCAAGCCTCATCAGCCGCTCTCGGTCTGCTGACAACTAGGACGACTCAATAGAAGATGAGAAACTATTTAAACTTCGCTTTAAGGATTCTACAGGGTGAACTACGATAGCCAGCTGTGGGATAACATCATTAAGGCCCTCAAAGGCAAAGATAAGGATTCTATAGACTCCCTGAATAGGGCCCAACTTATCAATGACATATTCAATATTGCCAAGGTCGGACAAATTGACTATGAAAAAGCGTTTGCGTTGGTCCAGTATTTGAAGGATGAGACTGACTACTATGCATGGGACTCAGCTTTGACAGCGTTCGAGTATCTGTTGGGAAAGTTGGATGAGAAAACTGAGAAGCTGTTGAAGGTTGGTAGAACTCTATCTATAATGGGCCTTTCCACCCTTTTTCGATATAAGCCCAGGCAACCAGATGACGAATGATCACCTCACTGTGACCCCCCTTATTGGTGATTTTTCGTTAGAGACGTCACACACCAATTTATGACGTCACTATGACGTACTTTCTATGACGTGAGTATCACGTCACCATCTCGACGTCGAGTGAACGTCACTTAGGAGGGTATAATGAGACGTCAGTTTCATCACTTTGCAGGGACGTGTTGTCGACGTCTATGTTTCCCAGACCATATCTGAGCCATGTATACTTACATTATCATGTGGAACCGTTAGGTTTGTGACGTACCTATATATACAGGAAGGTCATTTTCAGTGTTGGAAAGTTCTCAGAAAAAATCTTTTTTTTTATTAATCTTGCACACATATATAGAAACATCAGATCATCATGCAAGTTTCATTGGAATTATATATACCCAAAAAGTAAGAGAAAACTCTTTTTGAACTTTGACACATATACAAATGATAATATAGCTGTACCTACCTTAAATTACTGGAAAGACCCATTTTCATCTCATTGAGAAGCATGGTAGATGTGTGACCATAGTTATTTCTGTTTTGACGTTTTTTCAGAGTATGATTCTGGACTTACTGAATAGCGCTTTTCCTAGTACCACAGAATATGTAACACACATTGATAAGCTGAAGGAAAATCTGATTAGCTCTTGGGCATGCAATTTAAATCAAGAGCAGTGTATTAGTGACGCGAAAAAATCTTTCCAGGAATATAAAACCAATTCCAGGTGAGTTGAATGTAACAGACAATCATTTTCTGAAGACATTGAGCATCCTGATGTTGGAAAACAATACTGAGGTATGTCGTTCTATTCTTTGCAGCTCACTAGATAACAATTTGAGAGACGTAGTTTTGTGTTATGGATTGAAGAATAGTGAGAAAGTCACTGACGATTATAATTTCTTGTTGAATGTATTCGAAAAATCCACTTCTCCAGTTGAGCAACATGCCATCCTTGTAGCATTGGGATGTATTGAAGATGAGGAAGTTCTCCTTGAGTGAGTACTACTAAGATATTTTGACTCCATTTTCACCGAGAAATCGACTATGAACACCGAGAAAAATCCAGTCATACAAGTCTCCATTCGAAAACATCCAATAATTGCTAAATGGAACATGTCAACCACGAAATGTCATCTGATGAACGTGGAAAGTCAACATTTTCAACGTAAAACAGGTCACCTTTCCAAATCACTTTTTTGTTTTCGAACGATTACCTAATAGATTTGAATTGATAATCATTTAAATCCTAGAAGATATCATTTCACAGTTATACAAGTATTATTCAAGTTCCATCCCTTCTTCATTTACCATCTTTGTCATACCCGTTCACCACAATGAGTCATCTCACTCACTTATGAACACTCGTTCCATCAGAATTTTTAGTCGTCTACGGATACCTGATATGTAAGGACATATTAGCCCGCAGCAGCTTCACGAGCTGCTTTCACCCTTCTCACAGGGTGATAATTTTTTTTTCGGAAAAGTGAAGTGGTTGAAAGTTCTTCTAAAAATTCTAGGGACATATTTGTTCATATACCCCTCAAGTATAGGATTTGTTGAGGAACTACAGGAAGTTGAACTGCATCAGGACGTTATAGTGTTTTCACGATAAATCGGTAATGTATCGGAAATTCTTCCAATTTGGATGAAAGTTTTGAACTACCTCACTATTCACTATAGTGGCAGAAGCTTGAATTTACACAGTTATATCGGTGATAGATTGTATTCCGAATACAGAATATCCAAGATAAGGATATCTTCGTATCCTCATCTTGTATATGTATTTATTTGATTTGTATAATTTTCTTTGCTGCTTCAAAGTTCACAAGAATTCTAGCCAACAAGTCACCAGAAGAAAAAAAGGTTTTTCGTTTTCGCTTCGTGTTTCGTGCACCCATATTCACTGACGCCACCGTGTAAATTTTTGGCAACTATGTTAACTTATAATCCAAGTAAGTGACAAGAAGAACAAATACTCCACATTGGAATCATTTTTATCGTTGACAAATTGAGATATTGTGTACTCAGTATCTCGCCCTTCTGATGCACTTCAATGACCTGCAAATTATATTGATATGACTATTTTCATGATATTATTATTTGATATTGAAATGCTAATCATTTGACCCATATATGAGTTTCATTCTCATTCTTCTCAGGAATCTCAACTGTTGTTTCACTGTTATATGATTTTTTTGAAACGATTGACTCGATTACAATATTTCACGTTTGAGTCCACTAATGAAATTACAAAATAAAACATTGAAGTGTATTTTCAATTTAAATTTTCTCGAACCAACCATGAATTTATACAAACCTAGAGATTTATTAGATCTGACATCACTATATAAACTTAAAATATGTTGTTTTATTCAATTTGTTCTATATAAATTGAAAATTTCGAATTTAAATTTTAATGAAATCAATTCATTACATAATCATGGAAAAGACAATCAAATTTACTAATAGCAAATACGTTCAAGTCAAATATCGGCAAACAATCAATTTTTCACACAGGAATCGTTCTATACAACTCATTACCAAGTCAATTGAGGAATATACAGGAAACAACTAGATTCAAAATTAACTTAAAAAAATATCTGCTTCAGAGACTTTGATAATTCCATTCCCAATTTGAATACCTACTTATAAAAGACTAGGTTGATATTGCATGATTATTTGCATTTTTTTTTTACTTGTTATATCTTATTATAATTTCATAATTGTTTGAATAACACTATGTATATTGTTAATGTATCCCTATTATAAATAACTATGTTTCTTGGGGTAATAAAGACAATCAATCAATCAAATCAAAGGAACTATACAGGGTGGGGCATTAGTGTGTCGGAGCTCGATTGCTCGACATCTATGATAGCTAGAAACCTGATCCAGAAACGAATGTAAATGAGACAACAAGGTCCATAACTAGAAATCATTGCCGCATATACAGGGCGCACCAAGAATAATCTAGAAGGTCGGAATCATTTTTTTAATGGAATGCCCTGTATATTTGCATATTTTTTGAAGCATCCCTGTGACCTTCATCCGCTCCTATGATATTGTTGACTATATCTCGTTCATATCGAAGTTATGAATTTTTTTGGCGAAATAATGTCATCTGCAGATGCCTACCGAAAATATCACTGTTGTCACAATTATAGAATTTAAGAAAAAATAATCTCAATATCATTCATTGAAAAGATGAGTGACATTTCTGAAGATGTTTCAGGCTCTCAAATGATACAGGGTGGCTGAAAATGATTTTTCAATTCGGAACTTTTCGAAGTGATTTTTCTCGAGTTTTTCAAATGGAATAATATATGGGGTGATAGTATTCGACCATTTGATGGAAAATCGAAACAATAACATGATTATCTGAACATCCATATCGATATTCATAACCATTTTTGAGTTATTGAACTTTGAAAATTATAGATTGGCGATTTTGATCGATTCAGATTCTTATCTGTCATTGAAACATCAAAAGTCCAATTATTAATTTAGTGAACCGATTTTTTTAAAGAAATAATCGATACCAGAATCGAAGCAAACAGAAAAAGTTCATATGCTAGTTATTCACAAAGTAAAATGAGACAAAATTTCCATTTCTCAAGTATCCCATAAATTCATGGCACATTGAAAGCAAAACCAGAATAATTGAGAAATGAATTTTTTTCCGTCTCTACTTTGTGAATATTCAGCATAATTATGACCTACTCATGTCTGCTTTGGTTCTGACATCGATTGTTTCAATAAAGAATTGGTTTACTAAATTGTTGATTGAACTTTTGATGTTTCAATAACAGATAAGAATGTGTATCGATGAAAATAGCCAACCTAAAATTTTCAAAGTTCAAATATTCAAAAATGGTTGCGAATATCGATATGGATGTTCGGATAAATATGTTCGTGTTTCGATTTTACATCAAATGGTCAAATAATATATGGGGTGTTCCATTTGAAAAACTCGTGAAAAATCACTTCGGAAAGTTCCGAATTGAAAAATCATTTTCAGCCACCCTGTATCATTTGAGAGCCTGAAACATTTTCAGAAATGTCACTCATTTTTTCGATAAATGATATTGAGATTGTTTTTTTCTTGAAGTTTATAATAATTGTGACAACAGTGATATTTTCGGTAGGCATCTGCAGATGACATTATTTCGCCAAAAAAATTCATAACTTCGATATGAACGAGATATAGTCAACAATATCATAGGAGCGGATGAAGGTCACAGGGATGCTTCAAAAAATATGCAAATATACAGGGCATTCCATTAAAAAAATGATTCCGACCTTCTAGATTATTTTTGGTGCGCCCTGTATATGCGGCAATAATTTCTAGTTATGGACCTTGTTATCTCATTTACATTCGTTTTTGAATCAGGTTTCTAGCTATCATAGAACTCGAGCAATCGAGCTCCTACCGTTACCACCGATAAAACATCGGTGGTAACGCTCCGACGCACTAATGCTCCACCATGTATAATATGCTGGCGCCTATTCAATTCTGAAATCGTTTGAAGGTTATACTGTTTCGTATAACAGCTAATAGACTTATCTTGGTGAAGGTTGGATACGGTGAATAGTGTTTCATTCAAAGTCATTAATTATTTCTTTTTTCAGATATTTATCGCTTACAATCAACAAAACTTCTTCTATCAGACAACAAGATTATTCTACTCTGTTTTCTTCAGTATACTACAAAAGTAAGAAAGGATTGAATGTCGCTTTATCGTTTTTGGAAGACAATTTTGATAAAATAGAAGAAAGGTGAGCATACATTTTCTCAAATAATATTATGTAGTCATGTGAGGTAATACTCTCAGAAGTGAGGCATTTTTTTTTCATAAGATGTATAGAACTCATCAAAATGAACAATATTACAAGATTTCACTTGATTATTTGGGAATTTCTCTCCACGTTCTTCTACAATAAAAATATGAGTGTTATTTCAATACACAGGGTGTTTCAAAAAAAAACCTTACCCCTTGCTAGGGGGCTAGGGCTAGGGCTAGATCATTGCAAAATAAGCTGGGTTTGCTCAGTGAAAAAATGTCGTAACGGAATCCGTTTTCATGATACAAGGTGTTGAAAAAATTATTTTTCAACACATTTTTCACGATTATTCCGAAACTACTGGCAACATTGTGATGAAATTTTGTATAATGTTTCTTGAAATCTGACACATCGCATGAATTTGTTTTTATATCTGACACTCATAGAGGGCGCTAGTTACACGGTTCGTACCGAGTAGTTTTGAACATAACTTTTTTGAGGTCAGATTTTTCAATCCAAATTTGATGTGAACTTGAACATCATTCAATTTAGCGATGAAAAGGCGAACGATGTCGATATGAGTTTGTGAATAAAACTACAGGGTGTTCCATTTGAAAAATTCGAATGCATGTCATCTGAATCTTGCAAAATTCTAGATGCAAAATTGCTACTACTGTATGCCAAAAATATTTTCAAAATTTCAATAAATGAATTTACCATACCCAATTCAACATGACCCTTCAATTGTAGTAAAAATGGGTTTATCAATCATAACTTGGCAACGCCGCAACCAAATTCAATTTTTTCACAGCGATGTAGAGCTGAACCTTAGCTGAATGAATTCCGAATAAAAAATATTGGGTGTTCTATTTGAAAAAACTCGTCTCCGAGTCTTATAAAACACCCAGTATTGTTGAAAATATTTTTAAAATGGGAACCCTTAATAACAGGAGAACTTTGTTCACAAGTTTTTCTGTAGTGGTAATGGATTTCGAGATATCGAAGAATTACGCACTAAATGGACACACTGTATAATTACTATTCATACCATATTTGCAGTTATGGAGGGGTGAACGAGATTAGCGGATTGATTACTGGTTTGGCTGATAAACTGACGACGGACTCACAAATAGAGAAGGCAAGTATCAAAAGAAGTGCGATTGCTTAGAGATTCATATTCCTACCAAGAGATTGCTTTCTAGTGTATTATAGCAAATTTCTTGAATGTGCCTCATAGTAGGGGAGGCTAAGAGGCTAAATAGGGATTTACTCGAGCGTCGTGGGGACGTATCAGATTGTGAAGATCAGATGCGATAACGAAAAAAAGTTAATACAGGGTGTTCCATTGGGAAACGAAAATACTTTAACGGTGGATAGAGGTGACCAAGGTGGTTCTGAATATACCATATATTATTCAACTATATTCATATATTATCGTTGTGTCTTACATGTTTCATTATCGAGATATAGGGTGTTTTATCAATTCTGGTCATTTCTTTAAAGGCTCATGGCATACGAACCACCTGGTATATTTTTTAATACACTCAGTTCCAAGAAAAGTGACTCACTTGATATTTGACATATCTTTAAAAAAAAATTGTAGGCCGATTTTCTTTTTTTTTTATTTGTTGGTAGGTAATGTCTTTAAAAAAAATAAGGAGGTGGACATTTTTTTCAAAGCCTCCTTGATGGTGGTGAAATAACTCGAACCATGATTTATTCTTAATTCTTGACTCACCCTGTGTGTTAATTGAGTTATAGAAAGTGCTTGCACCCTATACGAAAGAGGCATCTTTTGCGAGCATTTTGTTTTTTCATTCATTGATTCATCTCTGAAATTTTCCGAATACGCTATACAGGGTGGGCCACCAGTAACGCCTCGGTCTCTAGAAGGCTAACCACTTATCTTCTTGGAATTCTTCCTCTTTAGGAAGTTGCATGTCAACATAGGCTACCATTTGAAATTATTTTGAAACATACAGGATGTCCCCAAAAATCACAAAACACTGAAGTTGAATTTTTTTCAATCGAACACCCTATATATTATTTCATTTTGGGATTCTCCCTGGTGAGCTGATTTCAACAATCCATCATACTTGGGGTCTAGTAGTTATAATTACTGAGATATAGGGTGTGAGAAATCGAGATTTTCCAAGTTCAAGAATTTTTTGTGTCTAAACCATTCATAATTGGTCGAAACGGCTCACATGTCCCTATCTCAACTTTTGATCAACTATCTACTGACATTTAATTGAAACAAATACAGGGTGGTGCAGAATTCAGAATCTTGATCACCTGGTATATGTCCCAATTAAATATCAGTAGATAGTTAATCAAAAGTTGAGATAGGGACATGTAAGCCGTTTTGACCAATTATGAATAGTTTCGACACAAAAAATTCTTGAACTTGGAAAATCTCAATTTTTCAAACCCCATATTTCAGTAATTATAACTGCTAGACCCCAAGTATGATGGGTCGTTGAAATCAGCTCATCAGGGAGAATCTCAAAATGAAATAATATATAGGGTGTTCGATAGAAAAAAGTTTAACTTCAGTGTTTTATGGTTTTTGGGGACGCCCCGTATGTTTCGAAATAATTTCAAATGGTAGCCTATGTTGACATGCAACTTCCTAGAGAGGAAGAATTCCAAGAAGATAAGTGGTTAGCCTTCTAGAGACCGAGGCGTTACTGGTGGCCCACCCTGTATACTAAACAAATTTTTACGCTCTCTTCATTTTTTAATTCATTTCGGACTCATTGTAGGTAGCTCAATAACTTTCTCACTATTTAATTGATGCATTATCCTCGTTTGACATACTCAGTCATTTTAAACCTTTTTATTACGAACGCACCGATATGAAATGTTGTAAAATCTCAACCTACTAGTGTGACGTCAGCATCAAGGTAGAGGGGATAGACTAAGGCCCGGTGAGATAGAGTAGGCTCTGGGCCCTGATGTGTCGCGCTCGAATAAATCCCGAAATCCCCACTTGGGCTTCCCTACTATCAAATCGACACATAAATTGTTGTTTTTCAGTTGACTGGATTCATTAAGGGGCACCAAAACAGTGAACAAGTCAAGATTATCGGTCAGAAAGCTATGGAGCTGATCAAAGCTAACAAAGATTGGAAAGATACTTATAGTAGTCAAATCAGAAAAGTGTTGTTGACCTATGAGGGTAGTAGCCCTTCCTGGCTCCCCAGTTTTTCAGTGGTTGCTATCTCTTTGATATTCATTTGCCTCAACATGTTTTGAGGTAAACCTACTTTTTCAACTTCAACAAATAACAGTTGTGTGCTGAGTCTGATGAGGTTATGTGATTCATCAGAGTTGGCTTTGAGTCTTCAAGATTCAAGGAAAATGTAAGATTTTTATTGTTAGTGGTCATTCGTCTTCCAAGTCTTATTTGCAGGAGAAAATGAAAATTTGTAAATGACAGATTATGAGGTTATGTTATTTGATATTGTAAGACAATAAGTGTAATATACATATTATGTTAGTACCTAACTAGACATTTTTGAGTAATCAACAAGACCTACCTACTTCCTATCATCTATCTATGCTATCATGAAATCATTCCGAAAAAATAGGAATGCCTACTAATTCATGTATCAGGATGAGAATCTGCCATTATGGACCAGTGCTGAAGCCTTTGAAAACGGCAAAATGCGAAGAAAAATCACAGTAGGATGAAACTCAATGAAAAAGAAAGAGAATATAATAAAGGAGAGAGGGTAAAAAACAGGTTTATCTTGATTTCCAGCAAAATTACGAGCCCTATGGAAGAATGATCAAAAGCAAAGTTGTCGGTCATAAACAGACCTACAACTTTCGTGATCACACTTTTTTCACATAACCTCAAAATTTCTGTGAAAAATTCAAATAATCAAGTTTTTTGTTTTTCATTTATCTTATGCAAAGAAAAATTTTCTTACACGAAATTCAGTCGAAACTTACCTTTTCATGTCCTTGAGACACTCTAATTTTTTTGATTTGAAATATTCATTTTTTCACCTTATTTAGACTTAATATCGAAAAAACACACTGATTTTGAATCGAAAATTCTCACGTCGAAATATCAGCTTTTCAAAAAAACTCGGCGTTTTTTGTTCGTTGCAATCTCTCCTTGCTGATAATATCAAAAAATATATACATTACTATAGTGAATGTTCTCAGAAATGCAAGGAAAAGAAAAAAAATCGAATCCGATTTTTTTTTTCAACCACTATGTACAATTTTGAGCTATTTTGTAAAATTCCCACATCGATTACTTGAAAAACATGAGATTCTATGTTACATTGAGAAACAAAAATATCACAAATTCATAAATCATAAAGATTGCAAGAAACTTGCGAAAATAGTTGTTCTAAATATTGAAGATAGGATTTGAAGGCGGGATTTCAATAAAAAAATATGATTGCTGCAATTGTGGATGAAGGATCAATTCAGACTGAAAATAATATTGGATACGAAGACGGTGATGGTCTTGAAGATTTCGAAGATCTACTAGAATCGGGAAGGTTTGCCGAATCTAGCGATGAAGAAATGCCACCGAAAAGACAAAAAGTAATAGATAAATGATTAGGGTTCAAGATAAGATTTATAAATAAGAAGATTTATGCATTCAAAGATATTATTATGAATAATAATAATCAGTATGAAGTATCTAGATTCAATAGAACGATTTACATTTCTATTCATATATTATGAAATTTTCCACGACATATATGTGATTAGAATTCAATAAATCAACTTTTTGACTGGAAGAATTGCAGCAATCAAATTTTTTCATTGAAATCTCCACATTACATTCTATTTTTAATATTTAGAACAACTATTTTCGCATGTTCCTTGCAATCTTCATATAATTGAAGTGTAAATTTCTCTAAATACCTCAAAATTGTACTATAGTGATTGAAAGAAAAAATTCAGATTCGAGTTTTTTTTCTTTTTTTTGCATTTCTGAGAACATTTACTATAGTGATGTATATAGTTTTCTATATTATCAGAAAGGAGAGATTTCAACGAACAAAAAACGCCCGAGTTTTTTTTAAGAAGGTGATATTTTGACGTGAGAATTTTCGATTAAAAATTTGGGCGTTTTTTCGCTATCAGGTCGAAATAAGGTGCAAAAATAAATATTTCATATAAAAAAAAATCACAGTGTCTTTAGGACATGAAAAGGTGAGTTTTCAACAAATTTCCTTTTAAAAAAAAGGTGGTTATTCGATTTTTTCACATACATTTTGAGGTTATGTGAAAAAAGTGTGATCAGAAAAGTTGTAGGTCTCTTTATCACCTACAACTTTGTCATTCACTATTTCTCTATAGGACTTGTGGTTTTGCCGAAAATCGAGATACACCGTTTTTTAACCCTTTTCCACTTCCACTTCCGACCTCAGATCGCCCGTAAATTGTTTTTCCTTTTATTTTTGTTATATTCTCGTCCTTTTCCAACGGGTTTCATCCTACTATAATTTTTTTTGATTTCAAGAATTATCGACCCTGGTCTATTATTCTTGGGACTGCTTCAACAACCATTATCCTATGGTTACCAGAATGAGTATGGGAGTAGGATATGAGTAGTCCACTCGAGCAATGCAAGATCAATGGGGACATCTGGTCCTTTAATCCTGACACAAGTTGTCATCAGACTGTCATTGTACCAGAAATTCCAGTCTTCACCTCAAAAATGTCTTACTCGAACGAAAACCACCCGGAATAATTCTTCACAGTGCTCCGGCCTGGAGGAATCGCCAACATCGAGCTGCCTGGCAGAAAAGAGCTGGCAGAGATCCTGAACGAAGCCAGGAGTTCTAAGGGCACATCAAGTCCTCCAAGGGCATTATTAAGTCCTCCAAGTCGGTCCGATCCACCATATTATCGCGGTCCAAGACAAAGAGCACTTTGCCTTATTATACATGAACAGACGAATGAGTAAACTCACTCCTAAATTCGTTGTATTTCTAACTATAACAAGATTGAAACATCCAATAGTTGTTCATGCCACTATTCCAATCATCAACGAATTAAGAAAGTAATATTGGAAAATCGTGATGCCACACCCACAAAGTCACTAACTTCTCAGGAACACCGTAGAAATGTTAGCGATCTGGCTCCATTTCATAAATATCTTCATGGACGATGATCTTCTGAAATATCAACAATTGTTCCTCCCTTGGCAGTCCCTGCGAGATTGACCCGTCAAATTGAGGCTTCACACCCCTTCGTGGTCACTTTGGAGACCTGCAGAACATCTTTTTCCAAAGACTCGTTCATCCAACGAACAGCGAGGCTCTGGATCACATTGCCAAGGGAGGTGTTCCCCTAGGCAAATAACCTCCAGAAATTTAGGAAGAACACCAATTCCTACCTTATTTCCCTTGGTTCTCACGATGTTCTCTGAATATTACAGGATATCCTATTTCGTGGGAACCAGAACATAAAAAAAATCTAGTATATCAATCGACCACACGAGGTTATGCAATTGCAAAAAAAAATCCGTTTTTGATCTACAAGGTAATCAACTGAGCTAATATTAGAAAATGCCCAATGTTGATAGTCTAAGTGCATATATTATCAGGATGAGAATCCACCATTATTCTTGGGACTGTTTCAATAACGTTATCCTATGGTTACCATAATGAATATAGGACTAGTATATGAGTAGTCCACTTGGGAAATGCAAGATCCTGAATGATCTGAGATTAATCTGTACTACTAGCTGAAGACAATTGGTCCTCTAATCCTGACACAAATTGTCATCAGACTGTCATTGTACCAGAAATTCCAGTATCTACCTCAAAAATGTCTTACTTAAACGAAAACCACCCGGAATTATTCTTCACGGTGCCTCGGCCTGGAGGAATCGCCAACATCGAGCTGCCTGACACCGAAGAACTGGCAGAGATGCTGAACGAAGCCAGAAGTTCCAAGGGCACTATCAAATCCACCAAATCGGCCAGATCTACCAGATCGTCGCGGTCCAAGTCCAAGAGCATCATTGATGGGGGATTTTTCACCTCCACCCCGGGCCAGACCTCGAGGGACCATCGTATCCAGCAGGCCATGGCCAGTATACCGTGGGTGCTCTTCGATGAGGAGGATGAGGGAGAAGAGGAAGTTTCGAAGCCGCCCAATCCTCTGCAGGTATACACAGTGTCGTTCATAAAGTTGGCATCGTAGGGAAAACTCTTTCAATAAAAATCTATTTTGGAATACTACTTGGGCGTTTAGTGCCGCTTCAAGAGAGATGCAAAATGGGCTATTTGGTTGAAGTCACGTGACAATACATGTCAAAACTTTCATTCAGGCGGCTCGGTGGTCGAGAGCATGAAGGCGCTGAGTACGTATGGGGACTCTCACCGAGACATAGGTTCGAATCCTGTTAGGCCATGGATTTACGTGTGTGTCTGCTTACCTAACCCCGCACAAATTTCGACTTATGGGGCGTATGGTCCCAGTGCTGGGACCAACGAGGTAATGCAAAAAAAAAACAACCTTGAAATGATACTCATTTGTTGAATTTTCGAGAAGGTTCAAAAAGAGAAGTCGTTTTGATTCTAATTTGACACATGTATCTCGAATTTGAACGATTCTGTTAGATATGTTACTGTCACAACGGAAAACTGTGAATTCCTCATGAAAAAAGGGATTTTTTTCTTTCACGAAATTTTTCTCTGGGCTCTCGTTTTCAATATACAGGGCGTCAAAAAATCCGTTTTTCGCTCCTATCTCAGGAACCGTTTGAGCCACGGAGCTGGGCCTTTGTACACGCACTTCATCATAAATAATGACTACTCTTGAGGCTCTTGATCAATTTCCTTGTCAGTGGTGGAGAGTTCAACGCCTCGTCGTTAGGGTATAACCCCCCAAATTTGCATGCCATACTGGAGAAATTGTGATTTTCAAAGCACATTCTAAAGCGCCAGTATCTTCCACACAAAAAAGGTCCTATTGCTTCAATGCTCTTCACTTTCAGTCAGCTGCTTATGATCTGTAAGTCACTAATCCGACTTGTCCTGGAATACTGTTTCCATATTTGGAGTGCAGCACCCAAACATACCCTGAAACTGTTGGATTCTGTCCAAAAGAAGACAATTCGTCTCGTGGATGATGCCTCGCTCACAAACTCACTCACTTCTCTGGAACATCGAAGAAAAGTTGGCGATCTGGCTCTATTTCATAGATATTTTCATGGACGAGGCTCTTATGAAATATCAACAATTGTTCCTCCCTTGGCAGTCCCCGCGAGATTAACCCGTCGAGTTGAGGCGTCGCACTCCTTCGTGGTCACTTTGGAGACCTGCAGAGCATCTCTTTCCAAAGATTCGTTCGCGAGGCTCTCGAACATATTGCCAAGGGAGGTGTTCCCCGAGGCATTTATATAGCCTCCAGAAATTCAAGAAGAACACCAATTCCTACCTTATATCCTTTGGTTCTCACGATGTTCTCTGAACATTATCCCTTTTCGTGGGAACCAGAACATAAAAGAGTACATATTT